CCTTGCCCTCTAGCCTGTTCTGCGCTGCGACTAAAACAGGCTAGGGGGCCGGACGCTGCGGCCACATGACCAAAGATATCAACGTAATACTGAGGAATCTATGTAAGAAAGTCATGGGGAAAAAAATTTCTGGAAAAAAAACCTGGAAATAAAAACTTTGGAAAAAAAGTCCGAAGTTTCTCAAGTCCTCGGAAAAAATGTCACTGGAAATAAAGTCCTGTGTTTTGGATTCCTGGGACTTTTTTTTCCTAAAATAGTATGGGGGCCGCCAATAAAGTCTCAGGAAATAAGATCTTAGGAAAAAAGTCCCGAAGAAAATAAATCCGTGGAAAAGAAAAACCTTGAACAAAAATGACTTTTTTCCATTGTGAATCATGCATTTTCACTTGTTAGAGGACTTTTTCTTGTAAAATCATACTGGAGCCAGCAAAAAAGTCATAGAAAATAAAGTCTCGAATTGGTAGGACTTTATTTCCGTCGAGACTTTTTAATAAAAGGACTTTTTCCACAGGACTTTTTTAGTGTGAAATTTTAGGACTTTTTTCCGGAAACTTTTTTTTCAAGGACTTTTTTGGCGGTTAATATGTTTTTAAGCTTAATCGAATCCATCGAAACGTTTATATTTTTTAATTGAGACTCTCACTTATAGAGTAGCATTTCTAATAATTAAGTGGAGTGACTGGCTGTAGATTCAGAAATGCCAGAAAATAAATAAAAACCGGTTTGATTTATTTAATCTTCGATGTACATGTGTACTCTCAGTACAGTATACACAATATATGTTGATTTAAATCCATTAAATCCTGTACAGATGTACTCGAAGTGACCTTTGGATGAGCTGGATTCAGGAATGATGTAATGGCTGGAAATTGGAATTTCGTTGAAAGAGTCGGCGGACAGGACGAGGTAGGGTACCTCGGACGTCATGAGCCTCTGCTATGAAGACACGAGCCTCCTAGATTTGCTTGGCAGACCGAGCCTCCACTATGCAGACCAAGCCTCCGCTATGCAGTGAACGATCGCCTCCACCGGTACAGTACAGCTTTTATTAAATCTGGTTTTTATGTACGTAATGAAAAAAAAATGTTAAAAATTTTTTTTTGACATAAAGTGGCATGATAGGTTTCTCAAAGATGAAAAGTATTTATCAATTATCATAAATAATTCCTAATTATGACTATGATATATAAAACTTTTAACATAAAAATATTTATAGAGAAAAAATTTGAATTGAACTTCATTTTATCTTTTATAATCTTTATTTAAGCGATACCTTTCTGCAGTAGTTCAACCTAAATCTAGAAAATTTGTATCATTTATTTAATCTTAACATTTCTCAAAAAAAGGTATTGTTTAAATCAAAGTCTACAGCAAAGCAAACTAAATTTACTCTAGAAATATTTCTTTAATATACCAGTGGCGTAAATATGGGGGTGAAGAAATTCTGCGCCTATACATTTTTCGAAATGTGTAATCTATAACCAAAAAATATATAAGTTTGTTTGTATAAGATCTTATTCTCTATCATAAAATTGTTTGATTGGGATGAAATAAATATTTATTTGACGGATTAGGATAAAACTTTTAAGTACATAACTATATATATTTGTATTTTTACATAAATCTAGAAAAACTTAATAATATAAATATATACATTCATATATAATAGACAGAAGAATGCATTACTAAAATTACTGCAAACTAAATTATTCATAAATAAGGTTAATAATTCTAATAAGAGAATAATATATTTTTGATCATTTTATCTTATCATGTTTTTTCTTTTTTTTTCATTATTCATTTAAAAGACTGACGTCTTTAAATGTCTTTGGTACTTTGCTGCACAGAGGAAGGTTTTGCGGATACATAATTCATGTATTGGATAATTTATTACATACAAATTTTTCCCTCAAAAATAATCAATTTTTGTGGAGAACGATTATGTAGGTTTTAGTATGAGGTTAGATAGATATATCCGAGGATGAGTCCGACTCAGATAGATTGACCAGCCTCTCGTGAGCTTGCTTCACGTCATAAACTTCATCCTTTTCATCCTCATCGTCCGAGGACAGCCTTTATATATAAATTAATTTTAAAATATCAAATAGAATTCAAGTGTCCTAAATAATTTAACATCGAGTCCATTATCTAATTAACCTATAATAGGTTTCCTATTTAGACAAAACTTCGGGGTTTTCTTGCTCATCTGAGTAATTCATTCGCTTTAATGTACGTACGTCGTACATATGTAAAATTGGATTTTCCTGTGCAATTATATGTACATTTTTGTGTCCCACGTAACATAAAAATTTAAAGACGACCAAGTATTGAATATGCATAAAGTGCTTCATTTGGACAGTGTTTTAATCATTTCTTAAACTAGATATGCATAATCCTAATATACTCAGTCACAGTGTTTTAATCATTTCTTAAACTAGATATGCATAATCCTAATATACTCAGTCACTGTGTTTATGATGCGGATCCGAATCCGCAAACATTTGCGGTCTGACGGATCCGGATTCAAGTGGAAAAGTATCAACCAAATCAACCAAATCAACCAAATCAACCAAATCTCAAAAATAAAAATGTTGCTGTCAAAACAGGCATCTTTAAGAAACTATGACGTAATTTCGAGTGACTCCTAAATCATAGAGTTTGATACATGATTTCTCTTGATTTTTTTTTCAATTGTATTATCTCTAAAGGAATTGAGTTTTTGCCGCAAACTCTAATTTTCTAATTCCTATATCTTTGCAACGAGATGGTATAAACCGACAATATTTCAAGATTAGACTATTTGATCTAACAGAATTCATAGTTTGAAATATCAAAGGTCTACGACATCGGGTGGTTAAGTTATAGGGGGGAAACAGTTATAATTTGTGACAAAAACTCATTTCCTTAGTAACTTGCAGATTTCTTGCAACCCAAAAAATAGAAGAAATTGTTAAAATTAGCATTTTTCAAACTAGAAAAACAAGGATATCCTCCCAATATTGATCAGATAAAGGTTTCAAGGTTGCCAATTTGTAAAAGTAGGGTCACTTAAAATTGAAACTTCAGTTATACTTCAAGAAAAAAAGAACAACTTTTGGTGAACGAAATTTGCAAAACTCAAAGAAATATTAATGATTCAGATCCGAATTTTTTACTCATTCCACTGAACAAAATTCTTAAATTTTTTTAACAAACAAAATATAGTAGTCAAAAATAAGAAAAAATATACCTGTGACAGAACTGATCTACAGACTCCTGCCAGTCCGACCTGATACTCAGGTTGTACATAGAGAAGGCAGGGTCCCCGGTCACATTCCTCTTCACCCTGGGGCAACATCAATTCAGATTTATGAGCGATGATCAAACGAAAGAAGAACTTTTAAAAGAAAAAATTGGCAAAGGGTTTCCGTCCACTGCAAACCAAACCTATGTTTCTGTTTAAATCAAGCAAAGACGCGTTGCATTTTAAAAATGCATATCCCTAGAACAGCAAAAAAGTATAGGTGAGTTGGTGAGGTAAAACCAAAGTATAACAAGGAGTTGCGATACTTTTAAAGTCGAGACTATTTAAAAATTTGATGTAAAACATTCAGACTGTTGAATAGGAAGACGATATTAATTCAATACTGTTGAATATGAAGACGATATTAATTCAATACTGTTGAATAGGAAGACGATATTAATTCAATACTGTTGAATAGGAAGACGATATTAATTCAATACTGTTGAATAGGAAGACGATATTAATTCAATACTGAAGTGGATTTGAGGTTGTTACAAAGCAAATAACGTTACTGTAGTAAGTTATTAGATCACATATTACGATATATGGGTCTGTTTATACTGCACATTTTCTGTGTTTCATGTTAATCGGACTATTTAAAGTCATAGCATAGTCCAAAAGTCGACTTACTAATCCAGAATTTTCTGGTTCTCACTGAAAACATATGTGGGCGTTTTTTTGGTTAACGAGAACTATGCTTGGTTAGTTCAACTTAGTAGTTCAACTCACCGAACCTAGTTCTAATACTTCTCACAATTTGTTTAGACCGACCTGAAGGCCTCCTGAGTTTACCTGAGGAATGGAGGAAGAGACGACAAGATCTCTTTATCCTCAAGAGTTGTAAATGTTTCCAGAAACACCAATCCTTTACACCTTGGATGACAGGGAGATCTGTATATATCCAGGGAATACTGCTGATTCTGATATAATAAGTTATTATCAAATAAGTCTCTTGTCTTTTGAACATTTTGGATCAGAATCCACATATAAGGAATAGACCTTTATCATAAGCTACAAGAAACAGATAAATCTCATTTGTTTGGAGGATATTTTACTACATTATTAGTTATTAGTATAATCTGGATGTTAAAATGAATTATAATTTAATGACAATGCAAAATACTTAAGTCATTTTGGGAAAATTTATGTTTTTTCTCCGAAATACCTTTATATTATTCAAACTAGACTTGATCTTTTTTTTTAATTAGGAATAGTCAAATGTTTTCAAATAAGAATAGTTCGATGTTTTTAAAATTGAATAGTTAATTCAATGTTATCAAATATGAATATTTTAATATTTTTAAATATTAATAGTTCAATGTTATAAAATATGAATAATTTAATGTTTAAAAATAAAAATAGCATAATGTTGTTAATTATGAAGAGGTCAGTAATTTAAAAAAATGAATATTAAACTTTTCAAATAATTATGTTTATTTAAGAGGTTGAACCTGATAGAGAAAGCAGCGTCTAGTTTTGAACACTGGAAGATGAGAATCGTCCCTGTGAGTAAGAAGATTGAGATAATCCCTCTGAGAAACTTGTTGCTTCATCTCTACAGTCTGACCCTGGAGTTCAGGTTTACGAACTAAAACACAGACAAAATTTAAACAAAGAACCAATCTTAATGTCCCCGTAAAAGGTTTTTATGTTTGTTCTTAAACATTTTGGAAACTTTTTTTATAAGCAAAATAAGATGCGGAGAATAAACGGTGCTCTAATTATTCTTATGACTATATATTGACTTTATACATATTATACGAGAAGATAAGAAGTTTTTTCAAGACATTTTACATAATCATTAACCCCCTTTTTATTACTTATGTAATAGAAGTATAACTGGTCTAGTCAAGATAGCTAAACTTTAATCCTAAGAGAGAGCTTTCCTAGCTGAGTAGGTCAGATCAGGCACATGTTAGAATATGTACTTTATGAGAACTAGGAATGTAGTGGAAGGACGGACACGTGTTTCCAAGCCTCCAAGGCCTTTATCCTTTACACACTAAATTTTAAAAAGAATTCTTTTGTATAAAAATTTTAATTTTGTTTGACATTAAGAAATTTAGACGGCGTATAATAAGTATAAATTGGATTTTCCAATAACTATAAACAGGTATTTAAAATTGATTTTAACTTATATATCTTAACGCTCCTAAGTGAAATAACATGTAAATAATAAAAAAAATACGATTGTAAAGAAGGCTCGACAGAAATGAGTTACACATGCAGTCGACAAAAAGGAGAAAGTTCTTTTATCATTTCTTACTGCTTGTCTAGCTTTCTCGTGAATTACATCATATAGTTCTGAAAAACTTCCTTTATTTTCTCATCCTCTTTTCTCAACCTGGCACTCTCCCATTTATCCCTCTTTTCTCTGTCTGACACATTAATTCTTTCTTTTTCAACCTGGCACTCACCCATTCATCACTCTTTTCTCAGCCTGGCACCTTCCCATTTATCACTCTTTTCTCAGCCAAGCACTCCTCCACTAATCTCTCTTTTCCCAACCCACCACTCTCCCATTCAATCCTCTTTTCTCAACCTAGCATTCTCCCATTTCTTACTATTTTCTCTGCCTGGCATTCTCCCATTCATACTTTTGTTCCCAACCTAGCACTCTCCAATTCATCCGACTTTTCTCACCCTGTCACTCTCCAATTTATCACTCTTTTCTCTGCCTGCCACTCCCATTTATCCTTTTTTCTCAACCTAACACTCTTCCATTCATCCCACTTTTCTCATCCTGTCACTCTCCCATTTATCCCATTTTTCTCACCCTGTCACTCTCCAATTTATCACTCTTTTCTCTGCCTGGCACTCCCATTTATTCTTTTTTCTCATACTAACACTCTTCCATTCATCCCACTTTTCTCATCCTGTCACTCTCCCATTTATCCCATTTTTCTCACCCTGTCACTCTCCCATTTATCACTCTTTTCTCACCCTGTCACTCTCCTATTCACTCTTTTCTCTGCCTGGCACTCTCCCATTCATCCCTCTTTTCTCAACCTAGCAATCTCCCATTCATCCCTCATTTCTTACCCTGTCACTCTCCCATTCATCCCTCATTTCTTACCCTGTCACTCTCCCATTCATCCCTCATTTCTTACCCTGTCACTCTCCCATTTATTCCTCTTTTCTCACCCTAGCACTCCCCAATCATCCCTTTTTTGATTACCTTTAAAAATTACCTGTAAAAGTAAACGTTGGTCGTCCATTTCTTACTCGCTTTCGAAGCCGGGTTTGGAAACCCTTCTTTGCAGAGTGAAGGTAATGGTGCACAACCTGGAGATATAATTTCTATATCAAGAATTAAAGTAACCTCGTGATACAGATTAATTTTCAGTCAAACTAAAAACGGAACACATGTTTGATGAGTCTGAGACACTTGAGAAAGGCTAAACTTTAAATAAGATTGGGCCAACTTCGCCATGAATATTACATTACAGTCAAATAGCTGTATTTAATGTATCTATACACTAGACAGTATATTTTTATGGACTAGTCATAAGATATGTTTATTATCTAGCCAAGGTAGTCTCTAATATATAGGTATTGACTAGTACTCTGAAATATATCTCAAGACTAGTACTGATTTAGTAGTGCTATAAATATTTCGCTAGACTATACTAAAACTATAGTACTTATATGCCAGTCTCAATATATTTATCTTTAGACGACTAGTTCTAATATATTTGTAGATGATTCTAATATACAACTAGCATCTATATATATAAAGTTGTAATCTCTGTTTGTTTGTCCGATCATAACTCTGGAACCCCTGGAACAATTAACCTCAAAGTTAGAAGAGGGAACTCGGGAGAGCCACGGGAATGGTTTTGAGATTATGAGATATCAGGGCAAATATTTAAAATCTTAATTTACGACAAAGCGCGGGTAATCGGTGGGACTAACTATGATCCCCTCGTGCAACGCTAGGTTCCCAAGCTAGTAATATATAATTCTAGACGACATTACTATATTATCTCTGAACTAGTACTAAAAGACATGTAATAATATATTTCATAGAAACATATAGTATATTTATCTTAACAATTTTGTAATATTTTTAGACATTTAAGACAAAGTACAATATATCTATCTATAGACACTAGACATGGTACAATATATCTGTCTACAAATATGGCAGTGTTATAATATCTGTAGGCACTATAGACAGGGTACAATATATCTTTCTCCAGAGACAGTGTAGTGTAGCATAAAAAAATGATCGTCTTTGCAACAAACTCACATTTTCTAATCTCTATGTATATCTTTGTAACCTGATAGTGTAAATCTTTGATATTTCAAACTTAGGTTATTTGATCTAACATAATTCATAGTTTGAAATATCTAAGGCCAACAACATTGTTTTGAAAAGATATAAAGATTATAAAATCAGAGTTTGTGACAAAGACTCAATTCCTTTAGTTAAAAATATTCTTTGCTGGATTTTTTGTTAAAGTTTATAATATTACATTGTTCCATTTAAACTGTTAAATAAACAATACTCAAGGACCCAGACAATATTAAATATCAGTGTCAAGGTTGTGGCATTTAAATACAACATTTGTAAACTGATTTTTAGATTCTTTAACTAAAAATCATTTCAAAATTTTTCCAATAACATTATCAGTAAATAACATTGAAACACAAAAAGATAATCATAGACTGCAGAAAAATGGTGGCAAAAAAAAGATAATACTACCTGAAAATCTGTAAATTTGACAGGAAACTCTTCATCCTTAGGAACTGAAGATATGAGGAATTTTACCTTCCTTGAGTTTGCATTAAACCTAAAAATCAGCGAAATACTGAAAAGTTCTAAATATTGTTCTTGAAAAATGCTAAAAATTTCAATTCATACATAAATGACCTAATATGAAAGCTCAACATGTATCGTCTCTCAGCAATTCTAACATTTCTTTGTTTACAATTATCTAACTCACAAATTAGAGTTGACCGCAGAAGAAGCATTTTCTAAATAATCCAAGTACATATTTTCCACATTTTTGCCTTTACAGCCTCTACACAAAGAACACAAGCCAACTTTAAAATAAATAAGTTGAACTTTGGTAGAAAGGGGCAAAATAAATTGTTGGTTTTAAAGTTTTTAAAAGATTCACGAAGGAACTAAAAACAAGTTTTACCTATCTCCAACATTTATTCCGATCCGTTTAGCAACAAGATCAATCAGCTTATTGATCTTGGAATCAAAGTCGGAACGGTTATCAATGATATCAACGTAAGGATGATCCCTCCAGGCATCCATAGCTCTTCTATCCCTTTCTCTTGCAAGCTCTAATCCTTCAAACCTGCAGTCAAAGATAAAGTAGATTAGAAAGTACTTAAAAAATAGTTATATTGAAATAAAAATGATTTCTTACTTATCAATGATGAAAAGTTCAGAAATTGCAAAAAGGCTCTGTTTGTGTTTTAAATTTAAAAAGAACAATATTATATTTAAAATATAAATCAAGGTAATCTAATATTCTATTTGGATTAAATTTGCGTATAAGCTCTTTAAAGAACGCTCAATTATTGTTTAGGTAAACCTTGACAAACCCTTTTGGTTTATTCAGCTTGTATAAAGGAACTTTATACTATCGTTTTACTCAGCTGGTAATATGAAACTTTTTGGTATAAAAAAAATGAATGATCATGTTCTTTTAATATATTTTAAGGATTTGTCTGAACTGAATACCTCGCTGAATGATCTTCTGTTGTGTAAAACTTCTCAGCACCGATGGCAGCGCTCTGAAATTGACCAATGAGGTCTATTTTGCATGCGGTTTCAAGCATGGGACTAATAATATTAATTCTACCTGCATATGGACGATATGATTGTACCGGTTGTCGCTAATCTCAATGTCCTCGAGACTAAGCTTACTCAGAATCCTATCCCACGCTTCCTTGTCAATGAATGCAGATGCGTCCATCACACCTCGATCGCAAATGATCAACACGTTCTGGGCGCATTTCTCCCCCATAGAGAAGTAGGTGTCCTCCAGTGCCATCATGGTTACAACTAGGTGTTCTTGGAAATCCAAAACCTTAATCATTTTTAAATATTGAATTAAGAACTCCATTTAAATATATATATATATCCATAATATCATTTGCTTTCACAAACTCATTTGAGGTTTTTGAGATGAGACGCGTAAAAAAATGATGTGGGCATAATTTTATTGCTTGGTCAGCTTTAGATAAAACTCGATAAATAATATTTTCGTATCCTCGTGCGTAAATACATAATCTTTCATTTAATGTGTTGGGACGGGTGAAGATCTGGCCACTTGAATACTTCGCATGGGGTCAAACTCGGCCCTAAGTTGGGCCTCTCTCTTGGAGAAAGCACGTGAGTGTGTCTGAAAGTATATTCTGAAAGCGAGGAAAACAATGAAAAATTCGTGGACAGTTTTTAAGGTTATACGAATAGGATTCCAGGGTCTTTGTCCCGTAAACAGCGATTTAAAATATTTAGATGAATATTTCATCAGGGTTTAAGAACTTTTGAGATATCTATGTTCTCTATATTCTGGGTATTACCTGCTCCTCTGTCAGATCTCCGAAAGATATTCCTCCGGACATTAACACTGTTGCAGTCTCAGGTACTCGGAATACCTTCCAACCAAGATTTTCAAAGAAATTTGCCAAACTGGCCTGACCCGTTGTCTTACCCCCACATGGTCCGCCGGTCAAAACAAGCTAGAAAACGTAAATATGATGTATTATGTTTTATTATTACAAAATGGGATTGGTTACGATTTCAAAAAATGATCTTTTGATCAGAAAAGTTAATTTATCAAAATCTGAATTGTAAAATATATTTTTATTTACCTTGTGTATTCTTTTGGTTGGTGGAATAGGTTCCTTGACTTCTTGATCTTTCATGATTAGATTATATTTCAACAGTATTTATATTCCTAGCATTTAATCATTCTTTAAATAAGATCATTTGATATTATATTAGCAATTTCTGTATAAATTAACACTTTTATTTTCATTAAGCAATGAATGAATTGAAATAGAACGGGATGTAAATTATGACACTTTCTTGTGGAGATATAAAGAAATTGAGTTTTTGCCACGAAGTCTGATTTTATAATCCCTATATATTTTCAACCAAATATTTCAAACTTTGATTATTTGATCTATGAAAATTCATAGGTTGCAAAGATATAGGGATTATATAATCAGAGTCTGTGGTAGAAACTAAAATCCTTCAGATAAGTTAGAATGCAATACTTTAATGATGAAAAAATTCATTGTTTCTAAATTTAAAACAAAGATGTGAAGTAGATTTCTTTAGGCTATTTTGAAAATGTTTTCCTTTTATTTGATTTTTAAAAGTGTAAAAGAAAAAGAAAAAGGATGATTTCCTTAATGTATTTTTCTGTCTATATTGTTTGATTTGGGTTCAAGGTTCACAGCCAGGATACAGTTGCTCAGGGTGGGTTAGGTAAGTAGGGAGAAGTTAAGAGGAAACCTCAATCTATGTTTGTGATGGAGTATAAAGGTTTCTTGCATCTTATTTGTCCACCAATGCATCAGGATCTATCTTAAAAACAGTTTAGTTTATTAAAATTAGTCTAAAAATTAAGATAAATTAAGCAGCTTAACGTGCAGTAAATCTGTTTTGTCTTGAAGTATCTCTGTTAACGAAACTATGGTAAACTAAATTGCTTTTAATTTGCTTGATATCTTTGCATCCTGATGTTGTAAACCTTCGATATTTCAAACCTTGACTATTTGATCTAACATAATTCATAGCTCATAAAATCAAAAATTTACGACATCGTGCTGCAAAGATATAGAATTAAGATATTGGTACAAGAACTCAGTTTCTTTAGGCATACAATAACAGTAATTGGAAGTATCTAAGTGTATGAGAAGGAATTAAGAGTTGATATTTTGATATTAATATTCAAACGAAAAGGATGGAAAAATAATAAAATATAAAATGAATGGAGAAATAATAAAATTATAGCATTCATTATAAAGACCTAATAACATCCTTTCCATTGTCTATTTTTAATGATGGTTAGTGAGAAATTATTGTTTTTACTTTATCTAAACGTTCTCTCATTTCTTAATTAGACTATGAATGAATATCTAAAGAATCAGTAAAACCTACTGTAAATTAAAAATGAAGCGGGTGTGGGATGAAATATGAGTTCTTTTATATTCCTCAACCACTAGTCTGAAAAAAATCATAAGTAAATTAATGAAACTGATAATATTTATGGTTTAAATAACTTAAATTAACTCTATAAGAGAAATTCTTTGATCACGTTTTTCAAAAGGTGATTTATCCAGTAAATGCATGTACCTCTGAGAGTATAGGCTGAGGGGTGGAAAGCAACTGTATTACTGTATATATCTACACGCTTTCATAAACTATCCAGGGTTGTATGCTTTTTCAAAACCAGGGTTGTATACTTTTTTACAACTTTTCCAGATTTGTATTTTTTAACGACTTATCAGGGTTGTTTAGTTTTTCACAACTTTTTCAGGGGTGAATACGTTATAACAACTATTCTAGAATTGTATACTTTTTTACAACTTTTTCCAGGTTGTATGCTTTTCATAACTTTTGCATACTTTTCAAAGCTTTTCCAGGGTTTTGTACACTTTTTCAGAAATTTTCCAAGAATGTATACTTTTTCAGAATTTGTCTAGGGTTGTATACTTCAAAACTTTTCCGGAGTTGCATGATGTTCAAACTAAAGTTCTTTTAAATCATTACTGAGCTGAAAACTTTAGAATGGAATATCCTAAATCCTGATCGGTTAATTGATCTGGAGATTAATAACAAGAGAACAAGCATTATTTAATCTAGAGATTAAGCAAAAGAGTGGATCAAGCATTAATCCCGATATATATGTGACAGGGAATAGACTTAATGACTTGTAAGTTTTGCCTCGAAATCTCAGGAGGGGGGGAAATGCCCCCCCGCCCCCCCCCTGTATCCGCCCCTGCTGTTATATAACCATGGGATTGTACACCAAAATGAATGAAAATAACTTTGGCGCTTCCTGCATCATTCTATTAGAATATGTCTTAATATTTTCTCTTTTTCACCTGAAAGAAAGTTACACAGATGACTAAGAACACTTTGGGGACATAAAAACAAGAATATATACTACAGTTTAACCCAGAACTTCGGAGTCGGATCGAAAGAATTTATAGAATGTCGTCTTGACAATTTTTCTCTCGTTGCCTCGTTCTGGGTTAAACTTTTTTTTTCAATCCCAATATCTATTGAACCTGATGGTGTACATCTTAAATATTTCAATTGCACAGTGTCAGTCCCTATTTACCTCTCCTCAGCTTTATTACTATTCACTAAAAACTTCCATCTAAAAACTAAACTGCAGACTGCAGTATTTGTATTGTTTATTAAAAGTTGCAGACAAAACTGTCATTGTCAACATTCAACTACAAACTACAGCATTGTTGCACGGATCGCACACAAACTCCGGTACATATGGAAACTGAACTAGAGCAAACCTTCAGGTAAGGTAAACAATCACTTTAAGGGAGTGTATGCAAACTGTTATTTTACACTGTAAATTGTATAATTTACAGTGTACAACTCTATTCTTATTTTACTTTCTACTATCCTCAATTTCCTTCCTTCGATCCTTAATTTCTTTACTTCAACCATCGGTTTCCTTCTAGTTCTTAATTTCCTTGCTACTATTCATAATTTCCTTCCTACTATTCTCAGTTTCCTTCTAATTCTCGATTTTCTTTCTACTATACTTAATTTCTTTCCTACTATTCTCAATTTTCTTACTTTTACCCTCGGTTTCCTTCTAGTTCTCAATTTTCTTACTACTATTCTTGATTTCCTTCCTACTATTCTCAATTTCCTTACCCATACCTTCAATTTCCTTCTAATTCTCGATTTTCTTCCCACTATTCTTAATTTCCTTCCTTCTATTCTCAATTTCCTTACTTTTACCCTCGGTTTCCTTCTAGTTCTCAATTTCCTTACTACTATTCTTGATTTCCTTCCTACTATTCTCAATTTCCTTACTTTTACCCTCGGTTTCTATCTATTTCTCAGTTTCCATGTAAGAACTCAATTTCCTTTTCTTCATATATACTGAGTTAGTTTTCTTCCTACTATCCTCATTATTATACAGGTTTAATACAAATCATTAAAACAAAACCAAAAAAATTTCAATTGGTAAAAAAGGATAAGTATAGATGAATAAAACAGAATTAGGGGGGAAACTTAACCAAATTTTAATCCATATACCTGTGAGTGTGATAGGAAAAGTAAAAAACTCACATATTTTTGTTTATCCCACAGATTTGATGTCTAAACTTATTGATGAACCAAGACTCTCTAACTATCATGTAGGTCCATGGACATTTCCTTACACTTCTCCAATCTGTTAACCTCCAGCATAGTGCATAAGAGATAAGAAAAATATAATGTAATATGTAATACTAACTGATGTTCTGAAAGGCGAAACATTTTACAATATGAAAACACGTATTTTTATGGAACATTTTTCTGCAATTAGCATATTTTAAAAGAATTTTTTTAAATCATCTCTATGGGGAAATTATTTTGAAAATATTGGAAAGATACCCGTGATGCAGTAGTAAAATGTCATTTTTTCCTTTTCCTTCAAGTTTTTCATGACAGCAAAACCTCAATTATATTAAGATAAAACTGCATGATCTGTAAACATTTATTTTTATATTTCAATCGAAATTTTTTTAGAATTTTGTCTCGATTTTAACATTACGCGCTCTGAGAAAGAAGACATTTGTCTCTTGAAGGCATATAATTATAAATTAAATTGAAGTAATAAATAAATACTTATAGTTTCTTATCTCTTTTAATTTTAAACAGCTACAGTTCAACGAGAATCTTTTATCATGCCCTAGGATCTTATTTCTTAGGGCGAATCCGTCTAATAAATCTCATTTTAAGGGTGAATCCGCATAATAAAAATCCTTTTTAAGGAAGGATCCGTACAATAATATCGTTTTTAAGGAAGGAGACATGGATAAATCTAATTTTTTATTTCTCTCTTATTAGCATCCTACTCTCAATCCATGTACAAGAAAACAATTTTTTAATATATAAAATTAACAGAGAACACTTTTAACAACAAAAAGAGACAACCATGAAAAGGTTTAGTTTATTCAATCATTTAATGCCCATGATCCACATTTAAAAGAATATCTTTTAAATAAACAACGAATAATTTAAACATAGGATTTAGTTAACTTTGCGTTTGTAGTAACGTGCACTTAACAAAGAGGTAAAAATAAAGGACTTAATTGAAATGAATTCATATGCACACTTGACATTGGGGCTTATTCTGATTCAGTGTTTTGTATGCAAAGTCCGGTGTATAGCCTGCATTCTACGCAGAATTATTCAGGGTCATATTTGCAATGCAGTTTTCCTTGCAGGGGCCAGGTTCAGAAGAACGAGGAAACCACTGCAAAATTTAAACAGATCTACTCGTTTCAAGTTTATAATCGTCCCTACAGGTTTCATGGTAGATTATTTATGCAACAGGACAAGTACAGTCAGGGTTGCAATTGGTCGGACATGCTGAGTTCTCTTTACATTCATACCAGCAGGAACAGTCGGGAACCTCAGATGGATCTTTACATTGCTGATTATCAGCGTCAAACACCATTCCTTTAGAACAACCAAACTTGTTCGGTTCCTAAAATAAAAAAATATAAATTGACAATAAAAAATTATATTATAGCTTACTTTATTGTAAAAAATAATCTTTTATAATAATTAATTTCATTGCGAGATTCTATCGATATTTGTTATGATTTACACCCCTGCCAATTTTTAGAATATGATACATTTAATATTGATATTTATATGCGGGGTCAACATCCAAGAATTATATTCTGTTTTATTTGTTCACCTCACGATTCACTACAGCGTATTAATTCATTTACATTTAATGAATAAGATTGAAAACTTTAAATTGTTGTATTTAAAGAGTAGGTCGTCATTAAAGCCTAAACATTTACACGTGTCTCTGAATATGTAATACCTACTGAGTCTAAGGTTAAAAACTATTAAAAGAATGTGCAGTTTAAAACTATGTAGAGAAATGGTATAATAACGTACAGATCAGACTTTGGACTATTTTAGTAGGGGAGTAATGAAAACGTGTTTTTATATTAAAAATCCTTACCTTTCCAAAATAGCATGTGAAATAAAACTGACAATCGTTAGGATGAGGATATACGGGATGCTGTTGGAGTAGACCCTGTGGACCAATTGTGTCTCCTCCAGGACACTTGAATCCATCTATCTCCAGATAGTCGTTCTCCTCAGAGCATCGTTTTGCATATTCGCTCAAGTTCTCCTGTCGAACACATCCCCCAATCTCGACGTCGAAGTAGAGAGGATCAGGACAGGGCATCTCAAAGGCGACTCCCTTATCACAGTTTAAGTATTTATTGCAAACCCTGGGATCATCGTGGTTGAAAACTCCGTTTGCTTTCTCACACCTTGGATCAGAACCCGGAGCTCGATCTTGCACAAACTCTCTTGCTCCACAATCTACATTGTGAGGTAGGACGCATTTCTCTCGGTTTGGAATAGAGTTATCAAAAAGTAAACCTTCCGGGCACAAAATTTCCTCTGCTTCTCCTTTCTTACAGATATAATACTTGTCACATTGCTCTGGATCCGAAAACCTACCGTTGGGCTCCGGACAATTGTAATTCGGAGCAGGAATTCCTTCAGGAGATAAGGCTTCTAAAAAACCCCAAAATATAAGAGTAACCGACCAAACCACGTACTTACTCTGCTGCATCTCGAATTCTACTGATCCAAATTACTTTCTCTAGTTCAAGGTTAAGTCGCGTTGCAAGGTAACGCATATTCTTAAACCCACATCGATGGAAACTGGTCAGTTAACCCACGACCCTACTTCCCAACCCCCTCTATCAATACATGAGTACAGAGTAGACCTAGAAAACCAATGTTCAAGGTTCTTTATCTCGGCAACATTTTAAAATGTGAAGGTAAACTGAAACAACATTTAGAACAGTTTTAAAAAGAAAGCCAAAAAATGTAGCCTAGTAATCTCTAGGGTAGATTTAATCTGACAGGAAGTGGAAAATAAGAAACCTAACAATTTAATTAAAAGCAGAAACTGGCGTGATCTATGTATGAAAGATAGGAGGAACATTAGAAAATAGGATGAAAACTGTACAAACTAATCAATATGTGAATTGTAAATAAGGATGAGGGAGAAGCTAGGGGATATGTGACAGGGAATAGACTTAATGACTTGTAAGGTAAGAGAAAAATTAAAGAATAAACTGTCTAAATTTAAGGATATAAAATATATCGTCGTACATTAGAATTTGTAATATTAATTCTGTATGAAAGGATTTGAGTCTTTGCAGCAAACTCAATTTTTTCATTCCCAATATCTATTGAACCTGATGGTGTACATCTTAAATATTTCAAACTTAGATTAAGCTCTCGCAGAATTAATAGTTTGAAATATCAAAGGTCTACAACATTTGGTTGCAAAGATATAGAAGTTAGAAAATCAGAGTTTGCGACAAAGACTCAATTCCTTTAATATGTGTGTGAAACACCAGGAAAGTAAAGGAAGTCTTGGAGTCATTAAATTTTTTAAGTGAATTATGCACTTGGAAAGTAGATCAAAATCCTGGAAAGTAGAATGTCACCAGGAGAAGTAAATCATAAACAGGGAAAGTAAATCATAATCCAAAAACCCTGGAAAGTAGAATGTAACAGGGAAAGTAAATCGTAAACAAGAAATGTAGACTGTAACAGGGAAAGTAAATCGTAAACAAGAAATGTAGACTGTAACAGGTAAAGTAAATCGTAAAGCAGGAATGTAGAATGTACCAGGTAAAGTAAATCGTAGACCAGGAATGTAGAATGTATAAGGGAAAGAAAATCGTAGACCAGGAATGTAGTAATGTAAGAGGGAAAGTAATCGTAGACCAGTAATGTAGAATGTAACAGGGAAAGTAAATATGTAAACCAGGAATGTAGAATGTATAAGGGAAAGAAAATCGTAGACCAGGAATTTAGAATGTAACAGGGAAAGTAAATATGTAAACCAGGAATGTAGAATGTATAAGGGAAAGAAAATCGTAGACCAGGAATGTAGTAATGTAAGAGGGAAAGTAATCGTAGACCAGTAATGTAGAATGTAACAGGTAAAGTAAATCGTAGACCAGGAATGTAGAAATGTAAGAGGGAAAGTAAATATGTAAACCAGGAATGTAGAATGTATATGGTAAAGTAAATCGTTAAACCAGGAATGTAGAAACGTAAGAGGGAAAGTAATTGTAAACCAGGAATGTAGAATGTAACAGTAAAGTAAATCGTAAACCAGGAAGGTAGAGTGTAACAGGGAAAGTAAATATGTAAACCAGGAATCAAGAATTAAAGAAAAAGAAAAGTAAAAGAACCCTTGATAAGAGAGCACGTTTTTTGGTAAAAAATTGTATTAAAAAAGAAAACAAACTGTGAATAAGCAAAGGACACAATTACTGTGTTTCATATTTATTGGATACACCAGGAATATAGAATGAAATATGGGAAGTATATGATACACCTGGAATATAGAATGAAATATGGGAAGTATATGTTACACCAGAAATATAGAATGAAATCTGGGAAGTATATGATACACTAGGATTATAGAATGAAATATGGGAATATATGATACACTAGGAATATAGAATGAAATCTGGGAAGTATATGATACACTAGGAATATAGAATGAAATATGGGAAGTATATGATACACTAGGAATATAGAATGAAATATGGGAAGTATATGATACACCTGGAATATAGAATGAAATATGGGAAGTATATGATACACTAGGAATATAGAATGAAATCTGGGAAGTATATGTTACACCAGGAATATAGAATGAAATCTGGGAAGTATATGATACACTAGGAATATAGAATGAAATATGGGAAGTATATGATACACTAGAAATATAGAATGAAATATAGGAAGTATATGATATCCCAGGAATATAGAATGAAATCTGGGAAGTATATGATACACCAGGAATAGAATGCAATCTGGGAAGTATATGATACACCTGGAATATAGAATGAAATCTGGGAAGTATATGATACACCATGAATATAGAATGAAATCTGGGAAGTGTATAATACACCTGGAATATAGAATGAAATCTGGGAAGTATATGATACACCAGGAATATATAATGAAATCTGGGAAGTATATGATACACCAGGAATATAGAATGAAACCTGGGAAGTATATGATACACCAGGAATATAGAATGAAACCTGGGAAGTATATGATACACTAGGAATATAGAATGAAATCTGGGAAGTATATGATACACCAGGAATATAGAATGAAACCTGGGAAGTATATATTATTACAGAAATCTAGAATCTAGAATAAAATTTGGAAATTTTATAGTGCGCCATATTATTATTTTAATAAATACTGTTTTCAAATGCGTAAACTTATTCTAGTATCATCAGCTGTGAAATTGGTGAAATCTGACTTTACTTATAAACTGTGCAATAAGCCCTGCCGTAGCGTGACTTGCATTTTAATATGTTTTCTTCTTAAGTTTTAGTTAACGCACAGTTCTACTGAACCATGTATGTATTGTTTAGATGATTATATATAAGTATCCCACAAAGAATGGGGACTTTAGAAATAACTCTACAGAATTTATGCAATCCGTTTTCTAACATATATGCTCTGCATAACTTCATTATCTAGATATATTATTTATCTTGCCTATCTTTATTTCCGACTTATTTTAGAAAGACATTTAGTTTTATATAAAATTATAAAAGGAATTGAGTCTTTGGAACAAAATCAAATATTTAAACCTCAATATCCTTAGAACTCGATGTTGTAAACCTTTGATATTTCAAACTCAGATTATTTGATCTAACAGAATTCATAATTTGAAATATCTAAGGTCTGCAACATGTGGTTCCAAAGATATAGTGATTAGAAAATCAGAGTTTGTGGCATAGACTATATTCCTTTACAAAAAAAAAATATCTAGAAAGATATAAAATGATGTTTGGACAGGTCTATTAATAATTAAAAATAATGACCCTGCTAATCCATAAAATGTAGAATCTTAACGTAAACAGCTGCAGCATAGGTAGACACTGACATACTTAAATATTTTAATGTTTATACCTCTAAAAACAACATAGATATACTAAAACCTCATTTAATCTCAATATTTTTCATTGACTCAACTACATTAAAATTATAACTTTGACGGGATCGTATCTAAGGAGTTTAGTCGGAGTAAAACGTAGGCTAGAGTTGATTACTATAATACCTCTACCTGCCTTCTCTGATAAGCAGACAACAAAACAGTATCAGTGGTGCGTTGAGAAAACGGAGTAAGGTTTAATATCCACCTGTTACAGAGTCTGTCTCCGATCCTGAACCCGTCTCAGCTCTCCCACTCACTTCCCTACTCTCTCAACACTCTCACCTTACAGGTGGATTCAAGTAGGGTAATCTAGATTTAGAGATTTTGAATAAATGAATAAATGCCACGTATAAAGAATATATTTTGGTTTTATAGTACTTATTTATTCTATAAATTCCAGTATGGGATATTTGTTTTGTTAATAGAAATAAGAAGAAATCTTTCCTACCCCTTTTAGTCAAACATTTAGATATTAGATCATTATAGAATAAGTCCCAATTACATCTCATAGTCTTCCATTGTATCTTAGACCCCCCCCGCCTCTTTCTCCCTCATATGAAACAGTTTTTAAGGAACAATTCTGACCAGTATTTTAAGCGTGATCTTTCTACAGTCCCAAATTGAATTATTTTAAAAACTAAATTTCTTCTATTTTTAAACTTTTATTTCAGAGCAGTGATTAAGAAAGGCTGTAAAGATGATGGAGTTAGTTGTGTATGGTGTATTCGTAGGATTATCTCTCTTAGCGTATGGTACAAGGCATCTGGCCAACAAGAGCGAGGATAAGAAGATTTCTGTCTCAAATGTTAACTTCAAAAGGTAAAAAGAATATTTAAAGTTTTTTTGCCAGATAGTATGATTTGTAGACAGTGCAATAATCTATACACTTGTAAAGGCCAGCAAGGGATTATTTATTGTAAATAATTTGCAAGCATAAATCTCTGCATCTGTTTTTTTTTAGTTTTCAGAAGAGTTTCTTCCTCGTATATTTCCTGGCTCTACTTGGGGACTGGCTTCAAGGACCATATGTATACAAACTATATGCATATTATGGATTCAAGGTAAATACGAGTTTAAACCTTGGTCCGAGTTGAGAACTTTTGTATTGTTAATCCCTTTAGAAAGCAGTACTGCTTATCTTATCTCCGGTGGATTAAGTAAATCTATATCGGATGGTTGGAGGATTCAACATATTAGATCTTCGTCTGTTTAAACCATCCACCGAACTGTATTGTACACGAATTAAGCACTTTAAATCTTTATTATCAATAGTTTACGATTTAGATATGGATCTCAAATGTTGTAGATTCAGCTGTCTCACACATAAATGTCTGTTTAGGAATCTCAGATAGCAGTTCTATACGTTGCAGGCTTTGCAAGTAGTGTTGTTTTTGGAACTTGTACTGGACCACTAGCTGATATATTTGGCAGAAGGTAAGTTTGTTGTACATGTTCACCGTACACCGTACAGTGTATTCGTACATAACCATATACAGTTTGATTCGTTTACAACGTAAGATAAACAGCTAGGTCACGTTATACTGAACAAAATAAATAAGATTAAAGTTTGGTTTAAATTATCATAAATAGATTGATAGCTCATTACATTTTTTGGTTATTTCTGTCGACTCGGTTTCAGTTTGGTCAATTTACTACGTGATAAAAATTTCTGGATAAACATTGAGAACAGTTCATTACTTCAACAATAGGTGTCAACAAACTTTATTATGAATCAGTTAAAAAGAACATAAAGATTTATAGTTGTATCTCCATGCGTGCAATGTAAATGTAAATTTTGAATCTTTTAAATGTTTGATTAATATTATTTATTATATAGGAAGTGTGCTATAGCGTTCTCCATCATCTACACATTCTGCTGCTTGACCAAGCTCTCACCTAACTTTAATATTCTCTTTATTGGTCGGATATTTGGGGGGATTGCAACCTCCATGCTCTTCTCTACCTTTGAATCCTGGTAATAATTATTCTTTTATATACTTGTAAAAAAGTTTTTTCCCTGGTTTATCAATATATTTTGCAACTACTTCTTCTTCATCTTTTCAACTCTTGTATAGTTTAGCATATTTCCTCATCATAATAAAACCATGAGGTTCAGTCAAGATTTTAGAAGAAAAATAAATAGTATAGGAAAAATTTTAACGACATAAATCTTAGCTTTATGAATAACTTATTTAATTACTGGACATAATTCCTTCAGTGATTCAAACTCCAATTTATAGTTTGATTTGATAAAGTACTTAAATCTAAGGTACGTGTATGAACATTCTGAGAAACATGGTTATCCCCCAGAGTGGATTGGTATCACTTTCTCAATAACAACTTTCTGGAATGGAATAATTGCTATTTTAGCAGGTGATTAAACTTAACTATTTACAATAAAATATATGATTTGTTGAAATATCTTATTATGAAAATGAATAAAATCATATTTCATGAACAAATCATTTGCTAAATAGATTAATTTGTATTTAGATTATTTTAAATCTAAATGAAAATTTTCTTAACTATTGTTTTTTCTTTATTTAGGAATAATTTCGAATGTTGGGGCTGAAACGCTTGGATTTGGTCCAGTAGCTCCTTTCGTAGTTGCTCTGGGTCCTCTTGTTGTCTGTGGGATACTAGTCATCAGAACCTGGGAGGAAAACTATGGAAATAGGTAGGAATATTATAAAAATGGAGTATTTTTTACATATTCAATTACTCACAATTATTCTTTAGTATCTGAATAAACTAATGAATATCTAATCATCATTGAAAATATAATATGATTTGCAATATAATCCATGCTTTATTGTTTTTTAAGGAAAAATGATTTCTCTGGATCCTGTATGGAAGGTTTAAGGATTATATTTAGAGATGAAAACATCCTTCTTCTGGGAACTATTCAGGTAATATTTTCTCTAATTTTTTAATGAATTTGGTTTAAATTTTATATTACAACTAATAAACTAAAAATTATTGTTTAGTCCCTGCTTGAGAGCTGTATGTATATATTTGTATTTCTCTGGACTCCTGTTCTTGACACTGGTTCAACAAGTGCACCTTTAGGAATGGTTTTCTCTTCTTTTATGGTTGGTTACATTCTTCATAATATCCGATCATATGAAAACCCTGTATTTTGTTAAGGTTTGCATCATGATTGGTTCCAGCACGTTTTCACTTCTTGCAAGCAAGGGGTTCTCAGAGGAGAATATACTAAAGTTTTGTCTCTATTTAATCGCAGGAACTATGACTGTCTGTTGTTTCACTGCCAGGTAATATTTTTTTTGGCTAATATTCAGTGCACGGCCAACAACATGTTTTCTCTTGAAAAACTCTTGTTCTAGTCCTCTAAATTAACATTTGAAAAAAGGGTCTTAGGAAAAAATTAAGGATAATGCACAATTGTGAAAACACTATTCGGAAAATCAAACTTAGCATAAACAAGTATTACAAAAGAATACAGAACCAACTTTAGTATCTGTTAGTAATTCTCAATAAAGATTACTCTAACATGTTTTTAAATGTTCTTTTTATGGCTAACGTAATTTGATATTTAGACCAGATGCAAGCAGTTTGGATACTCTGATTTCCTTCGCAGCATTTCTAGTTCTTGAGGTAACAAAAGAAAAAATTTTTTTTAATAGAAAACAGGTGTTAGTATTGTCTATTTAGATTGGAATAGGAATGTATTTCCCCGCTATTTCCTATTTGAGAAGTCAGGTTATCCCGGAATCGCATAGAGCTAATGTGATGAACTGGTTTAGGTAAAAATAATATATCTTAATTGCAATATTTTTTTTTGCGTCAACAAACTACATGTTCTACGGTTCTTTTCAGAGGTTACCAATATTTTTGTTAAGATATTTTTTTTATATGGTTTCTTTTATATTTTCTGTTTATCTTTAATTTCTTAAATTAAAATCAACATATAAAGCCTTTTGTATACAAACTCAAATTTTCTAATCCCTATATCTTTTCAGCGTGGTGGTGTTTAAACCTTTGATATTTCAAACTTAGATTATTTAATCCAACATGATTCATAGTTTTTTATATCTAAGATGAAGGGCTTAGTGAATCAGAGTTATTGGCAAAGATTCAATTCATTATATATCTCCAAAATATAAACTCAGGGTCTGATAGATCAACGATACTCTCTTAAATTACCGGGTCAGGGACACACGTATAGTACGAAATGTAAAATTATCAAAATTGATCAAGGACAATCCAATCTGACTGATCAGAGCATGCCTCGGTGAGCAATATCAAATGATATACTGAAGAAAAGTGCGTAATTCATTCTATAGAAATTCAGTTTATAATATTCCAGGGTTCCTATGAATATAATAACATGCGGGGCTCTCCTGTGCCTCCACATTGAGTCTGTTTCGAGGGATAAGAGACTAGTTTTCGGGGCCTGCCTTGTCTTAGCTCTAACAGGTGAAAAAATTGTACAAAAATATATACATATATTTATACTTTCATGATTAGAATGATACAAATGTTTTTTTTTTAAATTATGTGTAGCACAGTAGCACATTTTAAACTTTGAAATCTTCACTAGTTATCTAAATAGGAATCTAGTATATCTTTCTTATGTATCTATCATTTATCTATGGGCCATGATTAAAGGATTTTTTGTTGTTTTTTAAAGCTGTATTCGTTAATAACATTTCTTAAAACAGATCTTCTCTTATCTTTAACTAATCCTACAACAGTCCTATTCTCAACCATTTCTCAACAATTAAATTGAGTCTGTTCCACAAACTCAGATTGTCTAATCCCTTTATATTTGCAACCTGATGGTGAAAAATTTTAATATGTCAAACTCAGATTTGTGGATCGAGAAGAATTCTATAGTTTAAAATATCTGTCTACGACATTGGGTTGCAAAGACACAAGGAATTAAAAAATCAAAATTTGTGCAAAGGCCCAATTCCTTTGTCCCAAAAATAAATATTGTTTAAATCCCAGGTATCCTTCTCTGCAATCGGTTTATGAAAACCTTCGGAGCAAAGAGAATGGAGAAACTCCAACCAGTAGATCTGGGTAAAGAGGAGAAATCAGGAAAGTCACAATGAACGAACCTAAATAGACCCTTAGATTACACAGATAGGATATAACGTTGTTAAATAAGGAAACCCCTTCTCTCACAAATTGATAATGTGTGCTTTAAAGCCATAGTAAATAAAAGGTATAATTACCAACAAAAATACTTCTCTTGTCCTATCTTAGAAATCTAAGGTTAGAATTAACTGCAGTTCAATATAAAATGTACGCCTTCACAACATTTATTAAAATTTTCTCAAAACATTATCGATCATGGTTGTGGGTTATAAACAAATGCACAATATTATATATGTGTCTTAGTTTATCATTTTTAGATCTTTATTTAGTAAATATAACTTATTTCAAATTACAATAATGCGAAGTTTCACTGAAGTCAGTATAACAAGATATAATGATGTACATAATTGTATTCGTTCTTATTAAGTAATGTTAGGATTGAAAACTTTTAGGATAAATACTTTAAATTGTATTTGGTGTAGTTAAATATTGGAAAGTATTCTTTTTAGAGTTGATAGTTTTAATTAATTAGTATCAAGGATATTTTATTGGGATTGAATGCTTACTTGACGACCAATAACAACTTCTAACATAAATCGCAAAACCTGTACAGTGTATTGTAATTCTGTTCAATAAAAGTTAAATGGGTAATGGGATAAGGTTGGATATTTGTTGGAAGGAAGTGGTTACTCGCATCATACTCTAATTTTTAACCCCCTATCTTTCTAAAATCATACATGTATTTGCTTGTATTGTTTGCTTGTATCCAACTATTACGCTAAACTGGCTAAACCGAGCTGGTCAAAAAAAGTTTTGGTCGAAATTTAATATTTAGTAAAAAAAATTTTTAATTTTTAACATCTTTGGAAATCCGTCAATGCTAACAGAAAAGTTAGTGTACTTTATAGTTTTACAAGTATACAAAAAATGACAGCTTTAATTGTTACTATAGAAAAAAATGGGGAAAAGCGCCCAATAAGCCTAGTATTTCAAACATTGATTTTTTATCTTGCGAAATTCAAAGTTTGAAATAATTAAGGTCTAAGACAAGTTGCAAGTTATACAAAGATAAGAAAATTAGAGTTTGAAGCGAGTAATTTATAAATGATAAAAAATTAAACATTGAAATATTAAGTATTATGGTTTTCATTTAGTTTGAATTTGAATAGCAGCTCGGCAAACATAATATATTGATTAGAATATTCTTCAAGACTAGTTAATTGTTATTCTTGTTATTCGTTACTGTGTGACTTTACATCAGGTCTCTTGACAGAAGCTGAGGGATAAATACAAAATTCAATTCTTTCAGAGTTTGATGTTTTAAAAAGTGTTTGAATAATCTCAGTATAATTATACTTATATTTATTTAATTTATTAAATTTTCAATTATTTCTCTCTTAAATTTTTCAAGAAATAACTAATAATTGACTCAATATATAATAATTTATTAATTTTAGATTTTATCGTTTAAGATCTATGATATATTTTTTATCGATTTAATCCTCAAAAAAATTGTGTTCACGGACATTTTCAGTTTGATAAAAAGTATTATAAACATAATAACTTTATTGTGATAATCAGTATTTATTGTAAATAAGTGTGTTTTTTTTCAATAAAAGATTTGAAATAAAGAAAGCAGCAATAGTCACAGTTTTTAGGTTTAAACTGTGTAACCACTGTGGGAGGGAAGTTCAATAAACTATGCGTGGATTAAATGCAATATATGTATATATGATATATATGTATGTATATGTATGTATATATGTTACAAAAATAAACTATGCGTGGATTAAATGCAATATATGTATATATGATATATATGTATGTATATGTATGTATATATGTTACAAAAATGTGTGCACTCTAAATTAAGAAATAAAATCCAGCTTTTTTTCTGCCATATAAACGATGTTTTCTTGAATATAAGCGTTTTTTTTGTCGTTTAATTGGCAGCCAAATAATCCATTTTTTATTATTAAAAATTTAGAGTGTGTGTGTGAATGTGAATTGCAAGAATTGATCAAATTCATGATATAGAATATACAGAATTCAATAAAGGAATGGAGTCTTTGTCTCAAGCTCACATTTTCTAATCCCTATATCTTTGCTTGGGGCCTCTTACTCCGACAGCGAAGGTCTAAGTCAGTAAGATTAAGATATCTTTGCCCCCTGATGTAAACCTTGCATATTTTAAACTTAGATTACTTAATTTTTCTGAGTCTACGACATTGGGTTCCAAAGATATAAGGATTAGAAAATTAGAGTTTGTGGAAGAGACTTAGTGTGCGAACTCCAAATAAACCAAAAGATGATTTATGGTTGGTTAGAATGGTACCTCCAAAACAGAGAAGATGAAAATTCAATTAGCGTTTACATAGGAAGGGAGTATTTGCCACAAAATATGATTTTCTAATACCTAAATCTTTGCAACCCAATGATATTTAAAACTAATAATTCTTTGATGAGCAAATAATCTAAGTTTGAAATATCAAATGTTTACACCACCAGGTTGTAAAAGATATTGGGATTAGAATATTTGAGTTTATGGCAAAGCTTTAACTTCCCTGTTTGTTGAAGTATTTTCAGTGTTCTATTCGATAATATAGGTTTTCTCTGTTTATGAAGTGCGCGCGCAATATGTTAATAAAAAGACAAACACTAGACAGTAGACAAGTGTTTAAAAAAACACAAATTTTGATAGAAAATTAAGAACTTCCTATAAAACCTATCCTCCCTTCGGAACTGAATTGAAAAAAATCACATTCACGACGAAGAAAAAAGATTTTAAAAATATTATAAAAATATGCAACACTATTGTTGTTAAGTTATATCAAAAGAGTGATCCTTAAGCGGCTCTTGAAAGAATATTAGGTGTTTGAAATATCCCCAAAATTTTATTTTTGTGGTACTACATTTAAAAACATTTTTAATTTTACAAAAGTTAGAATAAAACTTGTGAACAACGTGATAAAAACGAACAATTATAGAGCACACGACTTTTAATATGATAAACTTTCACATTCTTGTATAACCTCTTAAAAGTAAAAAAAACATTCACTTTTAAAAATGAGCAAAAAATAACAATACCCATCTCAAGTTAAAAACTCTTTATGTCGCTCCAGCTCTTGGCAAACATTCAGGGAGAGAAACAGGGAAAACTTCAAATTATGATCTTGAAAAAGAATTGAATATTTATCTAACCAAAGAATTGATGAAACATTTAATTGAACTCCTTTATACTTGGTACAATTGAAAAGAATAATTACAAGAGTGTTTTTTCTACTTTTTTCTTAATTTATCTGAACATTTCATGCAGTGCGATCATTAAAAATTCATAATTGGAGGACAGTTAAATTTTAAAAACCTCAAGGCTTTATGGCTACAAATGCTTCCAACAATCTCCGAATAAATGTTATGAGGGAAATCAGAGATGGAATTTAAAGAATTTGAGCCGCGGTTTAAATCCGCCAAAACCCGGTTTAAATCAAGCGTCGGTTTAAATCTTGAAACATTTGATACAATTTTAAGTGGAACCAACCATATTTGGCTAAAATTTAAACCGCCGCTCAAATTCTTTAAATTCGGCCACAGAACATATATATCAAATATATATATATTTTTCCCCATTCCCACCATTTTTATAATACATGTGTGAATATTTTAGAAGGGTTCAACAACATGTTAAATGTAAAGGTATAAGTGTGTATAGCTGGGAAATTTTCATAATCATTTTAAATTATCATATTCAACCAAAGTAACGAAATTAAGGTGTAAAATAGGCAATCTGATCTTAAACGATCTTAAACCTTTGATTTTTTTTATCTATACAGAATTTATATAGTTTGAAATATCAAAGGTCTAGAATAAGTGAGTTAGAGCGATAAAATCAAAGCCCAAGGCGTTAATTGTCACAACGCCGTTGTGACACTTCAAAGTCGACCCTGTCTTAAAAATTTATAAGCAGGCTGAATCTATGTGTAATCTGTAATCATTATTTACGGTTATATCAATCGACATTCTAAAACGGATGTAAATTATTTTTGATAAGCTTTATATAAACATCAGAATTTCAGAAGCTTCAAAAGAATTGAGTCTTTGTCACAAACTACGATGTTCTAATCTCTATATCTTTGTAACCCAATGCCGTAGACCTTAGATATTTCAAACTATGAATTCTGTTAGATGAAAAAATCTAAGTTTGAAATATCAAAGGTTTACACCATCAGGTGTAAAAAATATAGGTATTAGAAAATCAGAGTTTGTTACAAAGACTCAATTCCTATGTTAGAAATTGTTTGAACGGTCGTAAAAAATATCTTTCTTATTTTTACTTAAAGCTAAATAAACATCAAGAGAAAATACACATAATCTTAGCACTACAAAATGTCTATACTGTTAACTTTCTAAAAAATAACCAAAAACTACAAAGAATTCATGTAAAGTAAAAAAGGGAAAAAGAAAAGAAAATATGATGAAAATTGTGAGGGGAAGTTTCCATAAGATAAACAAACATTTGGTCTATAAGTACCGAGCTGCGCCTATCACCCCTACCCCTCCCTTACTTAAAAGCCTGGCAATTTTCAATCTGCTGCATTTTACATTCTTGTTCAGAATATTTTGGACCTGTCTACTCAACTGTTATCAGTCCAAGGGGTGTAGGCACGGTGCGGTAAGCTGAAGCAACAGTGCAGAGTTTCTCTCTTTATTACGGGCCGGGACACAGAAGGAGACTGCAGGGATTACACCAATTGGCTTTGTTCAGTGCAGTTCATGCCGGTTTGGAGCTTGGGAGGAATTTTATGTGTTACAGTGTTAGATAGACTTGTTTATACAGTATACTAGTCGCTACTCGCAGTCGCTAGTCAGTTCTTCCTCTACATTTAGACTGAAAAGTAATTGTACTCGTGTTTCTCCACTTTAGTAGTTGTTCTTGTTTCTCCACTTTAGTAATTGTTCTTGTTTCTCCACTTTAGTTCCACAGTTCCTAACTCATGCACTAGTGTCAGTTACCTGCATTTGCAACTCGGTTAAACCTTTTTAAGGTGTGTTAGCTTGGACACAACACACCCAACAAAAATGGGTGTCAAATCAATAGGACTAAAGACATGCTATCTATCAATTTAAGTATTTTTACACAAAAATTATATGATGAAACCTTAAATATCTATAATGATGATGCCAGTGTGAAACAATTTTTACTATAGTCCAAAAAATTGCCATTTTTTTCAGATGACCTTAACGGACAAAATACTGGTTTGTGATGCAGCTGCCTTTTGTGCAATTGAACGCTAGTTCAATCGGCTATTAGTCCAACCGATATAGCATACAGAAATGATAAAAAAATGTCGTAATTGTATTGTAAAAGCGCGCAAACCGGCAAAATTTCCAACTCTTGTGGGAATTTCAGGGTGTCCCACGAAACATGACAGTTGTTGAATAGTTTAAAATGTCTTCTTCCCTAATTTTGTTGTTTGATACCAAAGCTAGACAATAATAAAAATATTATATGGGAGTCATGTTACAGTAAAATTGATTGAAAAGTAAAATATATTCAAGCAAAAGATTTTTTTAACGAAATAAACTACAAAAAGCCTTTAATATTTAATACAGTATATGGAAAACGACATTCATATCTATTTATCAATTGCCATGTTTCGTGGGACACCCTGTAGGTTTAGAGCATCAAGATCCTATTTTCATCTTTACAAACAAGGTTATCTACAAAATATAAGATTCCAGGGACAACAATATTTCTTCTAAAATTCCCATGGTCCCATCACTTTATCCTTTAATCCTTTGACCCTGGTTCATCAAGATTTTTGGTTCGTAGTTAAAGGCTAATGCTTTGTGAATAACCCTGTAATATGTATCTACTTTATTAGAATTATATGAAGTACACACTTGAGTACACTCGTACAAAATAGTTTCCTATGAATACCTGTGGAATTCCTAGATCTGAATTCAATATTGTTCATATCATCCTAATTAGTTCTACAACGCTAAATCCTGGAAAAAACATGCAACACTGTATAAATAATAACAATTCAAATATTTGACATCACACCAGATAATGCATAAATTGATAATCTTGATTTTTCATTCATTTTTCCATGTAATTCTTAGTTTAACATCAAAACTTAATCAACTTCATCTTAGGTACCCAACTTCATATTTATCTTGTATATTCCCGTAGTAAATAAGAGAAATTTATTATGCCATCAGCATGTTAAAATATTTAGACCAAAAATGACTGGACACGTTCTTAAGCTTGGAGATGTTGTCCCAAACTTTGTCTCCGATTCAACCCAGGGACAGATTGATTTCCACTCTTGGTTGGATGGAAGGTTAGGAAAGAGAAACTTTCACGCATTGTTTATTTTTCTCATCTATATATATATATAATGTGTATATTGTAGTTGGGGCATTCTCTTCTCCCATCCTGCTGATTATACTCCTGTATGTACAACAGAGCTGGGAAGGGTTCAGACCCTGCATAAGGTAAATTAAAAAGTTTCCTAGACTAGTCTCTGGTTCTGGGTTCTTAAACTAGATCAAAGATTCTTGTTTTCTATAGTTTATTTAATCATATTAGGTTTATGTTTCGGTTTTAAGGTTTCATAGACTTCAGCTCAGGGTCAGGTTTCAAAGATTAAATCTTAAAGGTTCAAATATCCTATGGTACATCTTTAGTATTAAAAATTGATAGAATATATCTCAGGTTCAGGTTTTATAAACTACGTCTTAGCTTCAAACTTCAGTGTTATACAGTCTAAAGTTACGTAATAGTGCTGAAAAATTAACTGATTATATAAATTTTAAAACTATTTAGGAGTTTGCTGCCCGTGGTGTGAAACTGGTTGCTCTATCTTGTGATTCCACTGAGTCCCATCTTGGCTGGATTAATGATATTCTAGCATATAACAAGCTAGAAGAATTTTCCTATCCCATCATAGCAGACCCGAATAGAGATGTTGCCACCCTGTATGGTATGTTGGACCCGGATGAGAAGGATTCTGCTGGAATGGCTTTAACCTGCCGGTAAGTATTGAACGATTTCACTCTCAATAAAACTTGGCTTCTTTTTTCCGTTTAAAGTTTTCAAATTTATTTTTGAAGCAAATGGCTTAAAACTAGTTTTAATACATTATCGTTTGATAAAAACTACTATTGTGCACAACTTGTGGGTCCGTCCTAGTGAACGATTTTTGGACCCCCCCCCCCTTCTATCAATTTTGTACATGACCAAATTAGTATTTATTTATTATTATTTAGGGTTAGGTTAGGTTAAGACAATTTCTAAGCCGAGCGCTGCGGCTAGGACAGGCTAGGGGCCGAGCGCTGCGGCCACGGGTTAGGTTAGTTAAGACACTTTCTGGACCGAGCGCTGCGGCTAGGACAGGCTAGGGGCCGAGCGCTGCGGCCACATGGTCAATATATCCATGTCTAACATATAAGATCCATGTACAAAATTGATAGGAGGGGGGGGGGGGTCCAAAAATCGTTCTCTAGGAATATACCCAACTTGTTCAATTACAGTTGCATTTGTTTACTTTTAGGAGTCCCATTAGGAGAAAATTAATTCCTGATTCAAAATATTAAGATTGAACGTGTTTTCTTCTTGGGGTTCTTAATGAAACCCAACTTAATTTTGTAGGCTTGCTTTTTACAAAACTTATTTTACAGTTGAATATTGGACACTGAGAAACGAAGCAGTCTGTATAATTGTCAGAGTGTCATTAAACATTTAATTCAAAATAACATTTTTTTCTCGTTTGTTATCAACGCTGGATTTAACTGGATTTACCAGGAATCTAAATTTCCGCTATTAAAGTCAACCCACTCAATTAAGGATCTCAAAACTAAGCTCTCCGATAAAAATTTGAGGCAAATCGGTCCAGGGGTTCCTGAGTTATGATCGAACAAACAAAAAAAACAAACATCAAACAGAGATTACAACTTTATATATTTAGATTTTCGGTCATTGGTTACATTTATCAATCGAGAATAAACCATAATTCTTACTTTTAACCCTCTCTATAACAGAAGCAAGGCTTTGAAAGAACAAATGTTATTAACATGGCCTCCTGCATAATTAAAAGTGAATACTGGGGCCCAAAAAAAAGGCTCCATGGAAGGAAAATACCTTTATTTTATACAGTGTAAATAAAAATAAAAAATCTGGAATCAATTCTAAAATTAACAAAATATCTTTTTGTCTTTTTAATCATGTCCACAAATTTTCTACTGTTCTAGTTTTACTCTCACGTAATTTTCATCAATGTTTCCAAATCAATGTTTATTTAATAGCAAGAATATATTTTAAACTACAAAAAAGCGAAATCTGTGTTGGACTAGGATTAACCTTCTTGTTAAAAGGAAACTGAAAATTCATGTTTTACAAACAAGCTTTTAAATCTTGTACAAATTTAAAAGCTATGGAACATGTGTGCTTTATTAAATGTATTTATATATTTTATAATCTTAAGATAACATTCTGGAAAATTCCTAGGAAGAATTGTTATGTTCAATATTTGGCGTAAATTTAAATAACTCCAACTCGTTTTTTGGGTATAAACGATCTTTGCTCTTAAAAACAGGGCACATGCATTCATATCGTCAAGTGTTTTATTTCTTTATACAATTTTTAAGTAATTATAGAAAACAGCGAAAGAAAGTTTAATTAAATGGCTTAAATAGTGGTTTAAAATGTGTTAATTTTCTCTGATGAAAATCAGTATTTATTATTTTAAATGAAAACTTACAAATTACTTGTTAATGGTTTAGAGCTGTTTTCATAATTGGACCTGACAAGAGACTCAAGCTATCCATCCTGTATCCTGCAACTACAGGACGGAATTTTGATGAAATTATCAGGGTTATTGATTCTCTCCAGTTGACAGCTACACGAAAGGTAATCAGCTCTTGGCATGCTGTCAACGACATCAATTACAAACTTTACTCGTTCACATAGCATCTAAGACCTTTCTTTTCTTCTGCAGTGTTGGTTGCCATGGTCCTCATGCTTTAGTAAAAATGTTCCCGGATTGTATGTTTTTTTTTCTCACTTCAATATGTTTCCATTTCGTTAAAATATATTTTAAAAATCTAGGCATATTGTAAGTTACGCATTCAGAAATGTAGGCATAATGTTGTCTAGGCATTCATAAACTAGCCATTCACAAACTAGGCATTTACGAACTAGGCATTTACGAACTAGGCATTTACGAACTAAGCATTCACGAACTAGGCATTCACAAACTAGGCATTCACGAACTAGGCATTCACAAACTAGGCATTCACAAACTAGGCATTCACGAACTAGGCATTCACGAACTAGGCATTCACGAACTAGGCATTTAACAACTAGGCATTCACGAACTAGGCATTCACAAACTAGGCATTCACGAACTAGGCATTTACGGACTAGGCATTCACAAACTAGGCATTCACAAACTAGGCATTCACAAACCAGGCATTCACGAACTAGGCATTTACGAACTAGGCATTCACGAACTAGGCATTCATAAACTAACCATTCACGGACTAGGCATTCACGAACTAGGCATTCACGAACTAGGCATTCACGAACTAGGCATTCATAAACTAACCATTCACGAACTAGGCATTCACGGACTAGGCATTCACAAACTAGGCATTCACAAACTAGGCATTCACAAACTAGGCATTTAAGAACTAGGCATTTAAGAACTAGGCATTTACGAACTAGGCATTCACTAATCAGGCATTCATAAACTAGCCATTCACAAACTAGGCATTTACGAACTAGGCATTCACGAACTAGGCATTCATAAAACTAGCCGTTTACGGACTAGGCATTTACGAACTAGGCATTCACGAACTAGGCATTCATAGACTAGCCATTCACGGACTAGGCATTCACGGCCGGACTAGGCATTCACGAACTAGGCATTCACGAACTAGGAATTCATAAACTAGCCATACACAAACTAGGCATTTACGAACTAAGCATTCATAAACTAACCATTCACGGACTAGGCATTTACGAACTAGGCATTCGCGAATTAGGCATTCGCGAACTAGGCATTTACGAACTAGGCATTTATGAACTAGGCATAATGTTACTGATTCACAGAATCCTCTACCCTAATCCACAGAATCCTCGATCCTCTCTACTCTGATCCATAGAACCCTCCATATATGATTTTCTCAATCTTCCAGCAAAGACGAATGTATCCTCGATCATGATCAAATGTCTTGAGTGATTCATTGAATTATCCACTATAATCAAAGTCTACCCTCATCCACAGTATATTCACCTGGGAAAACATGAAACCCAAGACTGGGATGTATCTTGGAACATAAATAGTGATTGAACTAATGTTGCGGGGGGGGATTATTGGTTAAACTATAATTAGGAAAATCCTTGTTATTGTACAGGTAGCTACACCTGTAGACTGGAAGCAAGGTGGATCCTGTATGGTAGTTCCTGGAGTTAAGCAAGAGGATGTTGAACAACTCTTTCCCAAGGGAGTTCAGGTTCACGAGGTTCCTTCAGGAAAGGTTAGATTTTATCCTTTATTGATTAAGAATATCCCCTGCAGTTTAACTCCAACCAAAGTGTTATTTTTGCTATTGGCCTTATCATTTTAAAATTAAATTCTGGTTAGAGAATGCACTGATTTCAAAAAAGTAGATTTACCTTGATTCAATATTTTTGTCGTCTTCAATTCCCCTTGTCTTCCTTAAATCTGTTAATTCTAGATCTCCCTTGTCATATTTAAACCTGTAAATCCTAGTTCTCCCTTGTCCTCTTTAAACATGTTAATCCTGGTTCTCCCTTGTCTTCTTTAAACTGTAAATCCTAGTTCTTGTCTTCTTAAAACCTGTAAATCCTAGTTCTCCCTTGTCTTCTTTAAACATGTTAATCCTGGTTCTCCCTTGTCTTATTTAAACCTGTAAATCCTAGTTCTCCCTTGTCTTCTTTAAACATGTTAATCCTGGTTCTCCCTTGTCTTATTTAAATCTGTAAATCCTAGTTCTCCCTTGCTTCTTTAAACATGTTAATCCTGGTTCTCCCTTGTCTTTTTTAAACTGTAAATCCTAGTTCTTCCTTGTCTTCTTTAAATCTGTAAATCCTAGTTCTCCCTTTTCTTCCTTAAATCCGTAAATCCTAGTTCTCCCTTGTCTTCTTTAAATCTGTTAATCATAGATCTCCCTTGTCTTCTTTAAATCTATAAATCCTAGTTCTCCCTTGTCCTCTTTAAATCTGTTAATCTTAGTTCTCCCTTGGCTTTAAATCTGTAAATCCTAGTTCTCCCTTGTCTTCCTTAAATCTGTTAATCCTAGTTCTTCCTTGTCTTCCTTAAATCTGTTAATCCTAGTTCTCCCTTATCTTCATTAAATCTGTAAATCCTAGTTCTCCCTTGTATTCTTTAAAAATCCTAGTTTTCCCTTGTCTTTTTTAATCCTGTTAATCCTGGTTCTCCCTTGTCTTCGTTCTCTCTTGTCTTCTTTAAACCTGTAAATCCTAGTTCACCCTTGTCTTCTTTAAACCTGTCAGTCCTAGTTCTTCCTTGTATTCTTTTAATCTGTAAATCCTAGTTTTCCCTTTCTGCAACCAAGCTAGATGGGTTTATCCAAATGGGTTATTTTATTTATAATTGCATTTTATTGTTTAGGTTTATCTCAGAACTACTCCTCAGCCCGAGTAAACAATGGTTTCCAGTCCGAGGATATTTGAGTCTATATTTTTCTCATCTTCAATGTGGCACCTTTCTCCTTTCACGAGTAGTTGTTTAATCTTAAATGTTTCAATTATTCTTGGACACTTGATTGACTAAACAATGTTTGTTGTTTGTGTTAAAGCACAATAAACTGTACAATTCTTTATTATAGTTCTTACAGATTATATAATGTTATATTTACTATTTGATAAGATTTTGTATTTGGTCTCGTGCTTCTCGTGTTGCACTGAAATAAAACTTTGCATTTATCCAATCATTTAATTAAAAAGTTAAATTGGTTTAATAATATTTAAGATAATTCTCCGCAAATTCTCAAATTAGTTTCCGAATTTAATGGTTAATTCGTGAACTTCAATGATTAGTAAAATAATTCAAATTACCAATGCGCGCACTACATATATATTATATAAGATATAAGATAATTTTGTTAAGATTAAATATTTTGGCGTGGCAAATTTTAAGAGTTTTTAATATGTTTTTTAAAATTTTTGTAGTTGTTAACATGAAGATGATATCTTTTTCTTCAAATAATTCATTGCTACCATTCAATTGAAAAGTGCTACCCATGATTACCGACAACAATAGTAAATACTTTTTGACTTTGTTGACTTTGAAAGACATTTATAAACTACCGATCTTAAATTTGAAATTTTAATTCTTTTATTAACAAATATAAGTTTCACTAGATTTTTTAATTCAAACTTCGTCAAAGCATTACATTTTTCCTTTTATAATGTAAGCGATTTACAGATAATAAAACCAAGGGCGAGATGTTTATAAATTTATAATACCCTTAAATGCAAATAAACGGTGAAATCATCATGAGGCCCCTAAAAATACCATTTTTGTAAGTGATGTATGCTAAGAATATTTAAATAAGAGGACTCACAATTTTCAGCCAAAATTGCGTTATGTTTCGTTAGGAATAAATTTCTTCGTTATGTTAAAAAACATTTTTGAGAAGATTATCGTCAGCCGGTAAACATACAAAGGCAAATAGAACCTTTTGGCATATCATGTCGATTACACATTCACGCATTGAAAACTTACTTCAAATTAAATAATCAGAAAGATCATGACTTTTTATAGCTAAAATGCCTACTTGGTTCTGTTTAGTACTTTTCATGACAATAAATATGTGTTTGAAACATCTTAACCGTAGTATAAAGTAGGGTTTCCAGCGAAAAAGGAAAAAATTTCGCATTTTATTTGTTTCCATCCGTATTGATTAAAAAAATAATGCAAAAATTTTGTGAAAAATAATAGTGCGAAAATTTCGCGAATGGAAATTATGCGAAAAAAGACTAAAATTTCGCGAAAAAATATTTTAAAAGATTCTTGTAATTAGCTAGCTTGGATTTGGGTGAACGTAAGTGGACGGACAGAAAAGATAGCTAGAGAAATCAAATTCTCTTCATTAAACACTCGTTATTTTCCCTGATTTTTTTAGGAACAATTTTTCTTGAAATTTTGAATCGCTTTCTCATTTTTACGCTTTATTCATTTTCGCGAAAAAATGCGAAATTTCGCGAAAGAGTTTGCGAAATACGAACAAAAATATTCGCATTTTTTCGTTAAACGTTTCGTTCGTTGGACCCCTAGTGCAGGGTGTCCCAAAAAACATGGGAATTCAGTGACGAATTCGATATCGTCTTTGTTATGAATTAGCATTGAAATACCTGATTTCAAAAGCCATAATATTATTATGTCTGCTAGAGTTTATTTCATGAAAACTGTAAAAGACTGTAAAGATGTGTCTATAATGTCTCCGCAAAATGAACAGTGAAGACGGACAAGTTTACTCTGTTTGTATACTGTACTTTTCTTGTTTTACTAAGTGCAACCGTATGCAGTCAAAACATAAACAAACAAAATGTGAACATAGCAGACAAAACTCTTACAGATTACAGCTTTCTCGGTAGGTATCACTATACTAAATCAAAGAATTATTTAAAAAGACGATATAGAATTCGTCACTGAATTCCCATGTTTATTGGGACACCCTGTATAAAGTATTGTAGGTCGGATGTTAAACGGGTGAGATGCAAAGCTCTTAACCCATATATGGCTTCCAACCCACTCTCTTAAGCACTATTTCCCCAGGTAGGCTAGATATGTGCCATTACACTTTAATTAAATAAACAAAACATATAATTTTGCTGAGCAGGCCGAAGAGCTCGGCCAGAAATTATTTGAATCTAACCTAACTCGAAATATTGAACATTCTTCATGGTTCCAGGTATTTTTTTTACATGGATTGAGAAGTCATTTGATTTTTTTTGTTAAACTCTTAATGAATTAGCACACAAAACTTAAGATTCTTGGTAAATTTTCGAGCTATGATATTAAAAACATTTTTCTTTCAAGAATTATACACATGTAACATTAGGTTTTACAATTACAAATTAAGTAAATGCAGCAATATATTTCAGGAAGACAGCATCTTGCTCAATTAACTAAGAAAGTAGTATGCTTAGTGGGGTGTACCGTAAAAGGAAAAATGAAATTTTATTGGATAAATGCAGTTAATCACTAAATCTAGAAATAAAATTTATTACTGTTTATTTGCTTGGAAGAAAAATCGCGCGTACAATAACTAAGACAATTATTAATTCATGTACAATGTGCTTTTACAAAGCTGTTAAACTTTCATAAACATTTTCCACGCCTTTCTCACTTCTCTGGGCAGCTTATGGAGTTGTAATATGAATAGAGGATTGTCCAACACTGCCTGTTCATTAAGTTCAGGAGATGGTGTATGCAAAAACCATCCTGGAGATCCTTTGATTCTTAAAACTTTAAGATAATTATAGTTTGACAACCATTCCCATTCAATGTGAACTAAACCTACAGGTATAATTAAACTTATTTCATTGTCGAGTAACTCTTCTAATCCAAAATCTTCTCTTTTAAGTTTGAACCGAGCAATTCTAACATTGTCATCAACAACATTTCTCCATTCACCATCAGCATCAATTTCAAGTAACTCAAAACGATAATGGGTGAAGGGGAAAAATCTAATATTTGTGCTAATACTTAGATATTTTCCAGAGAAGGAGTCTGTAAGTATTTTGAAAAATGTTTCCTCTGGCAACGGAATCCTTATTTCAAAAAAGGTTCCATTGACTGGTCTAGAATATTTTTGACCTTTGGATGAATCTCCTCTAGGATATGAGATGGTATTTAAGTTTAATACTGCAGAGGGGAACATTTCTGATTTTAACTCTGTATGAAGAGAAATTTGAAAAGGGTTATTTCTATTTCCTGAGAAACTAAATTCTAAAGAAGAAGTGATTGGTGAATCGTGACATTTTTCCTCAAATATTCTTCGGTTGATAAGCTGTGTTGAGTCAATTATCAGTAATGGGTTCTCATAGTTTTGATTAAATGTAAAGGATGTGTTCCAGCTTAAAAATGGACATCTTAATTCATCTTGAGATGTCTTAGTGCTTCCTTCAATATTAATATTCATAGAACCATCATCAGTTCCATCGATAGAAATGAAGAATTGAAAATCATGATATGAGAATATACCTTCTTCTGCAGTCCAGAAAATTTCCATTTGTTGATCATTTATATTGATTTGACCAGCTCCCATCAACATCAACATAGTTAACCTAACTTCATAACTTACTATTCCATTATTTTGAATAAGGGGTTTCATGCAGTTTAAAAATATCTCTCTTTCCCCATCCTTGTACACAATTTCCATTTTGTCAAGGCTTTTTGAAATAGAAACATCTAAGGTGTTTAATTTTGGTGACATCCAAACAATTTCTAGTTTTACTTCGTCGTGCTTATTTTGCCATTCTAGCTCTATCATCTGATAGTTTTCCTTCACCCGACTTGTTTGGATTTCACAGGTCAATTTTTTGATCTGACGATGTGAGACATCGATTTTGTTTTTGAAGGAAAACTCGCTTAGTGGAATATATCTAAATACATCTGCCAATGACTCTAGTCCTCTTAATGCATCTCTATGCAAGTTTCCTGAGAGATTGTATTCAATTTTACAAGCATTTGAATCACAATCTCTTTTATTCAACCCTGTAAGCTCAGAATGCGATTCGAAAAGTTTAATTCCTTCAAATTCTGCAAATGCGCGTAGAGATTCAGAAGCGTGTCCCAGGAGATGTCCATTATCATCTCCTGGGACGAAACTGTCCCTTTGTAATTTTATCGGTAAATACATTGCCTGCCTGTGACCGTTAGGAAAAGAAATGAGTATTTCTATTTCATTTCTTATTCTTGCTCCTGATAAGGTCTGGTTATTAAATCCCAACCTCAATGATGTAGGAGGTGTTTTAGGGTGATAATAAACCAGAACTTCGTAAGCACTTGTCTCATATTCTTTCAACAGCAAGTGAGGTATTTCTCTAAACAGAAATTTAAATATCTTCAACGGTTTTCCGAAAAGAGCAACTCTTAGATTTATATTTTGTAACAGTTTATCTATTTCTATTTTGAAGTTTGCTTGATCCCCAAGAACTCTAAACAACCCATATGCTCGAACTTCTTCTTCACTGTTTTCTATATTTAGATCTGAAAAATACTCGTAGCCTAATATAGAAAAATCCAGTTTTATTTGCAGGTCAGACTTTTTCCGATTAAAGCTGAACTCAAACAAGGTTATTTTCTCTGGTGATTTAATCAACAACTGGAACGTATCGTCATCTTTTCTAATATTAATTGGAAACTCTTCTCCTTGATAATGTGAATATGATATTATTCCTTCAATTTGATTGTTATCTGTAGAGTTAAGTTTAATTTCAAATGGTTGGATAAATCTTCTTCCATAATGCTTGGTTGAGAGAACAGAAAATCTTGATGATATCTGATTGTTATTTTGAGATATTATTAGAGCTATAGATCCAAATTCCTCATGGGTGTGATGAAGTTCATATTCAACCATGAGATCTAAAAGATTATTTCCAGAAAAATTTTTCTTCCTAAACGTGACCCGAAGTTTTACGAATCCTATTTCTGTATTTGAAATTAGCTTAGTTAAATCCTTGATTTCAATGTCAGCATTTAGTCCATTACTTGGTTTATCAGGATCTTCAAACTTGACACCAACACTAATACCAAGATTTTCAATGTTGTACTCTTTGTCATATACATTTCTTCTCGATCTTGTTACTTCAAGAGCAGATGTGAGCAGATCTTGTTTAGAAAGAAAAGTTTGAGCCAAGTTTACTAACAAATCTTGGTTTACAGGTACATTCAAGTTCAAACCTAAATATATTTTTTAGGAGTTAAATTACAGTTCAATGTACCTTTCAAGAATTTGTTATGTATTTCTTTCTTAAGATACTTTTTTAATATCTATAGATTTCATAGATTTGTTAAATAATTTCTTAAAATTAAAAGAATAAAAAGTTTTAACTTCAAAAATCCTCCACATTTTGATATAACCTCAGAGAAGATGCATTGATTTTTAATGCAAACACTTTTTTGATTTTATATTTCAATTTAGTAATATTTGAATACTAACTTTTCTATGTTCTCACTTTGATTACCATTTATGTTAGAGATGGTAAAGTAGCATGTCCATATTGCGACCAGTTTAAACTTCATGGTTATCTTAAGCTTCACCTAATTAACAAAAGAATTTAAAATAAAAAGTTCCATTTTAACTTTAGATAAAGGAACTGAACACTTGGCACACAGTCTAACGTCTTTGGTCTTTGATATTTCAAACTGAATTCCAAGAGATCAAATAGTCAAAGTTTTAAATATAAATGATATCAGGTTGCGAATATATACGGATTGAAAAATTAGAGTTTGTGGAGAGTGTTCAGTTCCTGAGCATAAAATAGTGATAGAAAAATAAGTGAATACCATGATATGATTATGGTTACAAAGATAAAGGGATTAGAAAATTCGAGTTTGTGTCAAAAACATAATTCCTCCCCTACTTAAAATTTCTGATTATTTTTAGTTTAGTTTAAGAGTTAGAAAAACCTTACCCTGCATGAGGAAAAAAATAACACTAAGTAAATTCAAATCTTATATTTGATTTAAATACTTTTTAAGAAAAAGCCGGTTCCCAGGGATGTTCCTTTTCCATATCTTAAACTAAGAAGATAAGTACATATATTTTTTATTTTGTATCTAATCGTTTTAATGTAGATTTAGATAAAAATGTTTTTGTTCTGTTTATAACTCCGTCCCTTTCCATGTTTCTAAGTACACATAATTCCCATCAGACCGATCAGACTGCTGTGCATTATTTTTTAGTATTTAACAGTGTTTTATTCTAAAACCCAGATTTAAACTGGTGATGGGGTGTAAAATGTACTTCTGAAAGACGCTATTTTCCCCTTTAAAAATATTTCAATAATCTGAAAATGATAAAAACCAGATGGACCCAACTTTAAAAATAATCAATGTCAACTGGGGCTAAAAGTCCTCCACCCCCCCCATTGCCTGAAGGCCTAAACCCTCTGATAATCCCTGCAATGCTGCATAATGCATATTCTGCCAAATGTTAAAATAAAATTATATCTTATTAATTCTTACAAAATGTTATCATAACGTACGAAAGTATAACGCATTTTGTTTAATATAAAAATCTTTTACATGGTTAAAAACATATATAATTATACTCCATTTGTTGCAGTATTATTCTACTGCAGAAATACATTCAAAATACTTATAATAAAAAATTATGACTTAATTTCCAAGGGTGGTAATAGGATTAAATAATAATATATGTTATAATATTTGCAAGGGGGGGGAGTAGTTCTCTTGCCCCTTCCTAATTGTCTCCTGAGCGCCACTGGATTATTAGGCAAAGGTTAAAAGAGGGAGGATCCCCCTGTACGCCATAGGGCTCCGCGCTGTGCAGACACGAGCCTCCTAGATTTGCTAGGCAGACTAAGCCTCCGCCATGAAGTATGAGCCTCCTCTTGCAGTAAACGAGCCTCCACTATACAGCACAAGTTCATTATAACAATTGGTTTTTTCATGTTATATAGATTTCTTTTTAATTGTTTTCAACATATTGGCATAAAAAGTGAATTTGAATTTAATGCACTTTTAACACAATTTTTGACATCTATCGGGGTTTTATGTCATCTGTATTGACTTAAACTAAATTTTCAAATTGTTTTCAGATTTGTTTGGTCAACAAAAACTGAGAATCAAGGCACAGTTCATTTTAGCCGAATCTTAGATACAATTCGATCATTTAATGACTGCATTTCATGATTGGCGTTAAGATACTTTAGTAGGTCGGGCTGCCTGTTTACTAAAAATTATCTCATCCCATGCAAAGTGGTATCCATCTCCATTTAAAAGATATTTTCAAAAAACCTTAACAGTGTTTAGATTTTTGTATTCGCCTACTCGAGTTCAACATCTACAACAAAACTAATTATATGCATAGAAAGAACAGAAAATTTTGAAAAATTAGTCTCAATCCACCCCCTACTGAAAATGAAGTATTTAGTCCACTAATAATGGGTTAAAGTTTCCTCTCTATATAAGGAGTTTAAAACACATATTATATTATATTATATTATATTATTTAAAGCACATGAGAACAAGCTATAGGTAATTATAAGAATTTGGTATGTTATTGAGCACATAGCCAACCCTTCAACGATTAAGAAATGCTGTTTTCTTTACTAGAAATTCTAAAAAAAAACAATGCTTTTTTCAAACATTTTCCCCCTGTACCCCCCAACCCAGGTCCTCCAAATCAATTTCGCCCCCTCCTCACAAAAGTGCTATGTTTAAACTCCAGTACTCATACTCTCTATCTGTAAAACCCAGTTCTCCTACTTTCTATCTGTAAACTACAGTTCTTCTACTTTCTATCTGTAAACTTTAGTTCTCCTACTTTCTATCTGAAAAATCTAGTTCTATCATACTTTCTATTATATCCCTACTAACCCGAAAACTTAAAAATACATATTTGACAAACGTAAAAATGCGAATGTAAAAAAGCTAAAAATCCAATGAATCGGGAATTTTTAGGTTTTTCCTATACGTAAAAATACGTATTTAATATCTGTAAAAATACGTATAGGAATAACATAAAAATGCGTATGTAAAAAACCTAAAATATCCAATGAATCAAGATTTTTTAGGTTTTTCCTATAAATAGATTTAGGTTTGAAAAAATTCTAACATTTCTTAATGTTTGGAATTTTAGGTTTTACCTATTCGTAAAAATACGTATTTTTCAAGTTCTAAAACCAGAAGAATTGGACTATAATTTTGCATAGGCATTGTTCTGAGGTGTATTTAGGGGGGGGTGGGGGCTAAGCCCCCCCCCCCGGGACCAGTGAACTCTATTGAATTCCGGGGGTCTGAAAACCCCAGACTAATTCCACAAATTTCTTAAATCCATATTCATTGATATTAATCATTTTCAATCCAATCCAATATTCTGTCTACAGAAATTCACACCTTCATCTGCATCCATCTAAACCAACATGTTGTTTGTATTTTCAACAATTACGTATTTAATATGTGTTATACTTTATACAATTACCATTTTCCTGTTACAAGACTGTTAAAGTAATACTTCTATTTATCAAAAAATCGAGAATTTACTGACATTGATTCTAATGAAAACATCAATTTACTGAAAAATGATAGCAATTTTGAAACATTGAATTTTCCAAAATGTTTGCAGTTTCCAAAATGTTTGCATTAAATTTCTTACTTCAAATTCTAACTTAAAAATGCATTTTTGGGCAGTTGAGGTTTCGTGAGTATATTGACACTTAGAATGAAATTTACGAAAATATACATATTTTTAAGTTTGCCTCAAACTTTATAACTCTAAAAAAATATTGAGTAAAGAAAAATACATAAAAATACGTAAAGTAAAAACCTAAAAAAACTTTTAAACATTTCTTGGTATGAAATTTACGAATTATACGAATTTTTAGGTTTGCATCAAACTTTAAGACTCTAAAAGTCTTTTTAAGTAAAGAAAACCCCTAAAAATACGTAAAAATACGTAAAATAATAACTTTAAAACTTTGAGATATTACTTGGTGTTAAATTTACTAAAATATACGTATTTTTAGGTTTGCATCAAACTTTTAAACTCTAAAAAATTCAATTTTTTAAGTAAAGAAAACCCTTAAGAAATACGTAAAAATACGTAAAATAAAAACCTAAAAACTTTGAATCATTTCTTGGTATGAAATTTACGTAAATATACATATTTTTAGGTTTGCATCAAACTTTCAAACTCTAAAAAAAATACAACTTTTTAAGTAAAACAATACCTAAAAAATACGTAAAATGAAAACCTAAAATCTTTGAAAAAATTTCTTGTTACAGGGTGTCCCACGAAACATGACAATAGCAAGACGACTTGAAAGTCGTCTTTGGTATTTGAATTTATTTGTGACATTAAGTCTTCTATCTACTTTAATATGTATGATTCTTGAAACAATTATCACATAATTCTCCTAGCCTTGGCATTTCCAAAAAGTGGTCTGCGTTTTTTGTGCTTTCAATATTACCGGAGATATAAAGAGTTTGGTTCAGATTTCAATTTTGTTAAATAAAAGCAAAATTGTCGAAATCTGAACGAAATTCTTCATATCTCGGGCAATATTGAAAGCACAAAAAAGGCAGACCACATTTTGGAAATGGCAGGACAAGGGAAATTTTGTGATTATAATCTCTAGAAATTTACCTCTAAAATTAGGTTGACAAATAAACGCAGCAAATTATATCAAAAATCAAGACGACATTCAAGTCGTCCTGCATACTGTCATGTTTCGTGGGACACCCTGTATGAAATTTACAAAATTATAAGTATTTTTAGGTTTGCATCAAACTTTTAAACTCTAAAAAAACATACATTTTTTAAGTAAAGAAAAAACCTAAAAAATACGTAAAAAGACGTAAAATAATAACATAACAACTTTAAAAAATTTATTGGTATGAAATTTACGAAAATATACGCATTTTTAGGTTTGCATCAAACTATTAAACTCTAAGAATATATAACTTTTTTTTAGTAAAGAAAACCCCTAAAAATACGTAAAAATACGTAAAATAAAAACCTAAAATTTTTTTTTAAAATTACTTGGTAAAAAGCTTGTACGTATATTTTTCATATAAATACGTTTCTGGAAAAACAAAGCATATAAAAAAATTGCTTGGTATGCTAAATGGATAAAAACGTAAATATAAGTAAGTTCTTTACCCAATAGTTGAGCTTACGTATTTATACAGAAAAATACCTATCAATACGTATACCATAAGACTTTGCAGGTATTTTTAGGTTTTTGGGATAATATAGGGATAGTTCAAAATGAACATAAAAATAGTTTAAGAACCCAAAAAATAGTCAAAAAAATTGTTTGTTCCTGATAACTATATTTCATGATTAGACTCATGAATTTATGTGATTTTTTAAACATCTTTTTTATGTTCATTTGAATCCTATTTTTATGTTTTTTGAATTTCATTTGAACGATTTTTTATCTACATATATTTGAACAATTATTTTGTTCATTTGAACTATATTTTTTTTCTTTATTTGAACTATTTTATTATCGCGGAAGAACACGGGTAATATATGTACATAAACTTCCCAATTGATTTTAATTGAACATATTTTGACACGCATTCAAGATTATAAATTAATAACTAATAAAATAAGAAAGAATCTCATTTCGAGTTTGTCTTTTGATAACCGCCCCCCATCGCATTCTGTCGAAGTGCAGTTTGATGAATTAACTTTAGAAAAATTCAGAATTGTATGCTAAAACGATACATTTTTAGACTGTAAACTCTCTGTACCTGCTACATCTGTAACCGGAGTCCAGTCAAGTGTACGCTGCCGGCAAGTGGTGTGGACTGGGGAGTCCAGTTCAATGTGGCGACAGCTACCGCAATACAGTGAAATTATTTAAAGCAAGGATTTAAAATTGAATTAATCTGATATGCGTGATGAACAATTCGTCTAGGTCTGAGCAAGCAACTGCACAAAATTCTGCGCTTCAAGCTGCACTTCAAAGGGCAGAGCAGGTTAGATAAGTAAATTTGTTCTTGCAAAATATACCCTGAGGAGTGAGGGCGTATTTTAATTCTTAAAATCGTCAAACAAGATATTTTTCGGTTTCAAAAGGTTGTTCTTATAATTTATAAAACTATTTCAGGTGAATAACAAGTTGAAAGCAGGACCGTTCACTGGAGTGAAGCGTCCTAGTAGTGACGAACTAACCTCGGGACTGAATATCAAGAAATCAAACATGGAAGGAAGTACTGAACAGATCGCGGTTCCGGACAAGATGGTAGGGATGATCATAGGTAGGGGCGGAGAGCAGATCACCCGCCTTCAGCAGGATTCTAATTGCAAAATACAGATGGCTCCTGATAGCGGCGGCCAGAATGTTCGTATGTGCACATTGACCGGAACTGACGAGGCGATAGCACAGGCTAAATCCATGATCGATGGTATAATCGCCAATGGCGGTGTCGGTGCTGGTGGCGGTGGTGGTGGTGGTGGAGGGGGAGGAATGGGAGGAATGGGTGGTATGGGAGGTGGACAGGGGGGATTATTCGAAGTAATGGTGCCTGGAAACAAGGTTGGGTTGATTATTGGTAAGGGTGGAGAAACCATTAAGATGCTTCAAGAACAGACCGGAGCCAAGGTTATAATTATCCAGGTACACACTTATTATTCTGCACTATATATCTTCTGTAATGGAAAATTTCTCATTTGATCGGATTTGATTTAATAAATTTTAGTTGTCTCTTGTGGAAGTAAACCTATTACATAAAAAATGGACTCTTTGGGAAGTAATATGAAGGAAAGAGAATAATCAGTTAATTTTTCAAACAAAGTTGATTAATAGATTTCATTATTATTTATTACTTTAATGCTGAAATCCCCCCCCCCCCCNGGTAGTGTCAAAACATCGTTAAATATTGTATGTTTAGGAGAACTCGGATCATGCTGACCAGAAACCTCTCCGTATCTCCGGTCCACCACACGCTGTTGAAGATGCCAAGGCGAGGGTGATGGAATTGCTAAATCAGATGGAACCAAATGGATTTGGAGGTCGAGGTGGTGGTCGTGGAGGTCGTGGAATGGGTATGCGAGGGGGATCTCCCCGAGGAGGAGGGTTTGGAGGACGAGGAAGAGGAAGAGGAGGATGGCCTAGTGGACATGAGGGTGGAGGAGAGACGGTTGACTATGTTACTGTTTCCTCGGACAAGGTTGGTCTGGTTATTGGTAAGGGCGGAGAAACTATCAAGTCGATAAACCAGGCAAGCGGAGCATATTGTGAGATAGATAAGCGCGCCCCGCCGGATGCAGTTGAAAAGAACTTTGTTATTCGTGGACCCCCAGAATGTGTTGAGAAGGCCAAACAGATGGTCTTAGAAAAGGTGAGAATTTAGGGCGATTATAATTTATATTTTCAAAAACAATTTTTGAATTAACAACTTATTGAAGATGCCTTATCCCTAGATTGGTGCAGCTCCTGCTAGTGGATATGGATCCTTCCCGGGACAAACCTTTGTACCTCCTGGTAGTGGTGGAGGCGGGGGTTACAATCCGTCTCAAGGTGGTGGTTACAACCAGCCAGGTGCAGGATATGATCCTCCGTCCAATCCTTATCAACCTCAGCCACCAGGTAGAACCCAAAAAAAACTCTTGCTCACATATGTCTATACTTAAAAAGCAACCTCTTTAGTGTAAGTACTTAAATAGTGAAATTAGGAACGGAACCATTTTGCTTTATATCTGAAGACTTGTGGATTTCATAATCATTTATCTCTCAAGTTCTTAAATAAACTTCTTAAATAAAATTCTCCAAACTTAATACTTCAACTATTAAAAACAGAAAAAATCGGTGATCCAAAAATTGTGATTTTTTGGTTTTTAAATGTTTATTCAATTTCTTTATGAGTAGGTTAAACTGCAAACTATTACTTCTCAATCTTAGGAACTCTAAGAAAAATACATATATTTTTAATAAATTATTTATTTAATGAAGGTTGAAATGTTTTTTAAACGGGATCACTATCTATTCTAGATTTATTTATCAAAAGCAAAACTTTCGAGAAACCCCCATTGTTTCTTGTCTACAATTCTCAACCCATGAATCAGCATCAGTTTAGAATATTTGTTGTTTAGGTCCAGCAATAAATCCAGCCACCGGTCAACCTGATTATAGTTCACAGTGGGCAGATTATTATAGATCCCTTGGAATGGTGAAGGAAGCAGAACTTATCGAGCAGCAGGTAGAGTAGTGTATGTACATATATTTAACAATCGAGCAAATAGATTTTCATGATTTTGAATAGCTATGTATGAAAAATATCATCACTTTAATTTCATAAAATGTGAAGGTAATTAATTTCATCAGTCTAAATTATTAGGTTTTTATGAAGAACCAGCTAATGTTGATTTTTAATTCAAATTCGAATTTAACTTAAATGTTTTAAAATTGAAAATACGTAACGATTTTTTTTAACAGTATTGATATTGTCATTGAGTTAAACCACGAAAATCGCTTTTCTCTCAATCGATGAGATTTTTCATTTTAATTCCGTTGTTGAAAGATCGAGCGTTATAATAAATTCAAATCTATCTGAAAATGTTCCAAGTAAATTATTGATAATTTAAGTATTTCCGAACTTAATTTTTGTTTGGTGTAGGGAGGAGGAGCCCCGCAGCAAGCTGCTCCTGTAGTGCCGGCCCAAGCCCAGCAACAGCGTAAGCTTTTTTTAATGTTACCATCATCACCCACTTTTGGAAAGAAATGACTTATTTCTTACGGATTTATTTCTTACGGATTTCATGTTAATTTGAGATTTTTTATAAGAAATTGGGAGTGGTGTGGGAGGTGACTAAAATGTTGTGGGCTGAACAAATCTAATTAAAGGGAATTTTTAATGCCAATTTATGTATTTATGTTAAAAATTTCTTCCCAATTTTCCTCAGAGTATTTTGGCTATTGAAAAAAATTACTATCTATTTATTTTAATTAAAAAAGAATTTGTTTGTACTTATTTATTTTATTTTACATTTGCATCTAATGCATTTATTTTTCTTTCTTTGACACCGATTCTTCTAAATTTCATAATTCTAATGACTTCTATTCACATATCCCCAGCAATTTGAAATAAATAGAAGGTTTTCATTTTCTAGCGGACTACTCTGCGCAATGGGCCGACTACTACCGGTCTATTGGGAAGACGAAAGAGGCTGAGGCAATAGAGGCGCAGATGAGATCAAAGCCTGGTCCTGCTCCGGGTGGATTTGCTCCAGCCGCAGCTCAATATCCTGCACAACCTGGATACCCGTCTGCTGCTGGATACTTCCCTCCACAGGTTTTTTTAAAATGAATTTTAATTGCTTTTTATTTTCAGTAAGAATTAGAATATTTGAAAGTTAAAAATTAAAATTGGACGAAGATTGTCAAAGTCACCCTTATCCTCAATATCCAATGGTATATTTATTTTTCAATATTCCGTCAAAAAAGCTAGTACAGTACAGTACAGTACACGTTTTGAAAAGAATGGATCTGTAGTAAAATATGAACCCTTGATAATATTCTTATACAGTCTTTGCATAAAATTTAATATGTTAGCATAAAATATAATATGTTAGCATAAAATATAATATGGTTAAATCCAACATTTTCCTTCAAATTATTTACCAAGGATTTATGATCTCTGGGAAAAAATGAGATTGAACATCAAATGGATAATTTATTTTCTCCTTAAAACCATATTTTTACCCAAACTATGTAAATAAAACCCCCCAAAAGTTTAAAAACATATCTTAACTTCTGGGGCGGAAAAACTGATTTTCAAAATGAGGACGCCAAAATATAGCCCTGACTTTATATAACGAACAGAACGACATTTTATTCATTTTCGTGAAGATATATTTTTTTATTCTTATGTATACAAAATTTACAAAAACTTTTAACTGTGGATCAGTCTATTGGTGAGCATTTTCTCTTTGTACAATATAAAACAATAACAAAAAATCGAGGACTTTATGTTTATTTTAAGGAAATCACTTTTTTTGTAATTCTGAGCCTTCATAAATCTAACCTGGAGTCATGTGAGATTCCTCAAAAATGTTGGGCCTCAATGGTTCAGTCGTTTTGACGGTTATTGTCCACAAAAAACTAAACAGACAGACAAGCCAAGTATAATATGATATATTTGTTAAGAGTGGGTATCCTGGTTATGACTGAGATATCTGTTTTGCATCTACTGGAGTAAACTGACACATGGTTAGGATTTTACATTATTTATCAAATAATATTTAGAAAAAAAACTTTAAATAAAATTATTGATCAGCTTTATTATTTTAATGGATTTATAAGAAAATATCAAACACATCATTGTAAAAATATAATATTTTTTAGAATTTTGGCAATTTAATGATATCACTTATAAATTCGCTCCATGTTGCACAGAACCAAAACCTTGAAAATTAATATTCATCTTAAATGGATTATTTGGCATTTTAAAAATGATTCATGATGAATTTAGTGCTTAAGGTTTTCTGGATCCATACTTTTTCACTTCCTTTGATTCGGCTCCATTGAGCTGGAAATTATACCAAATTGGTCAGAAAACAAGAAATCATGATAAATAAATCATCTTAACTAGATGGGTACCCCAAACCAAATTTTAAAAGGCTGAACAATCCCTTAACTTTTATTTTTATATTAAAAATGCTTCAAAGGGACTGTAAGTGTAATTTAAAGTGACAATCCGTGCACAGATCCTTAAACTGGTCTCGGGAACTCGTGTTTATCTCTCAAAATAGTGTCCGAATTGCCGCAAAACGGATTTGTACTGTTCTGTTGGGAATCGGACACGCCACTAATGGAAGGTCGATTGCAATTGCGCCTACAGTCCCTTTAAATGGATGTTTTAACATTTTTCAAGACTATTACGACTATCTTTAACATGATTCTTTATTTCAGATGATATTTAAAAACCACATGTTGATGTAAACCTAGAAAGCAGACAGAAATATTCATTGTACAGTAACTTTGTGTGTTTTCTGGATATCATCCATTCTCTTCAACCCTCAGCCGAAGCCAGGGAAACGCTCTGAACTATTCTCCGATATCTGAACCTTACTGGCCATTCTACGCCTGTCGAGGATTTATTATGTTTTCAGGGTTGAAATATATGTTTCATTTTCCAGATTTTTTTTTTTCCGTTTCGGGGGGGTTTTCACGCCAAATCGAGCTGATTTTGTAAACTATTGTGATATTAAGACGCTAATATTCTCGATTTTTAGAGATCCTGAGCTTTAATCCGATCTCATGCTTTTTTGTCTTGACCTAATATAATATGTAATACACATTAAAGATTAACATTTAAGATTAAAGCTGTCATGTTGCAGGCGCAGTATTTAGCTTGGGGTCAGCAGCCGACAACGGCAGTCGGTAAGCACAGAATTCACAAATTCAAATTTGATTTTATACCATTAAAGGGACTTCATTCAGGTTCTAATGCTTTGTAATATCAGTTGAGAGGTTAAACCGGAAGTTCCTTTAACGGTTTATCTGTTCTGCGTTTTAATGTAACCATTTTCTGACTGATTTCTATAGTTTCATGCATCAAATTTGTGATTTTATATCCATTTATGATTGAGTTCTGTGTGATTTATAATAAGATTTAGAATTATTTTTTAACAGTTTGAATTTTAAAACAAAAAAGTTTACTGGTCCTACATAAAGCTGAGTTTTGAGGATTTCAGCAATAAACTTTAAAATATTTACTTTTTAGAGTTAATGCAAAAGAGAGTTTGTTACGTACAAATTACACAGAAACAGCAACAACTTGAAGATAATTATTAACGCCATGTTGACAGACGGAGGATGTGCAGGGATGCCATAAGCCTTGCGAAAAGACCTCCAAGCCCCGTGAAACCGTCTCCGTGCATTACTATTTATCCCAGCCTCTGCGATTTTGTCTCCACGCCCCGTGTTTTGGTCTCCAACAAAAAATATTGCTTTTTTTTTACGTCAACCGAAAACTTTTCTTCAGCCTAAAATAGTTTTCAATGATACATTATCAATTTGATTTAAAAAGTCTATTTAAATTAAGATGATTTCTATTTTGTTTTCTAAATTACTTAACTTTTGAAGAACTATTCCACAGGTGCATAATGTACGAATCAAACTATTACACGAGCATCGATTCACAAAACAATCGTTTTTGTGAAATATTTGAATTTGTGCTTTGTGTTAACTTTTCACAAGAAAACAAGTTATGACAAATTGAAAGAATTAATATTTGAAATTTGTGGATTAAACGATTCCTAACTATTGTGGATTCTACTATGAAGAGATATATTTTGATTTTTAAGCAGAGATGAAAATGTGGGGCTTGGAGACGAACGGAAGACATGATGATGGGTTTCAGTAGCTTGGAGGTTATTCTGAGTAATTGGAGGCCGTGGAGGTCAATTCTCGGGACTTGAGGCTCTGCACCCCCTCCTTCGTTATCAAGGATACTAAATATAGTTTGGCTATATTGAATCTAGATTTGACAACGGTAATGTTTATGATAAATCCTAGACAAAAAGAGCAATTTTTCTAACAAGGTCGGTTTTGCCATTGGTACCAGCCGATCCGATCTAGAGAATCTAGAGGACCTTGATATAAGAGTTTCACACCTTCAAGTGTACCTTCAAGTGTATTGTATTTGATTAAATAACAGCAACAAAAACCACGGTATGGACTGTCATATTTGTAACGGGTTTTATTATCGATCTTTAATAATTGCCATAGAGAATAGAATATATAGAGAGGAATTTACTGGAAAAAAGTGTAAAACGGCCATTTTGTTGTACTGTTTCCATACTGCAGGTGTACTTCACATATTTATGCTATATAACCTGTTGGGCCCTGGAATATCATTTTATAGAAAATCTAAAATTATTGTTATAATCATTTATTGAAAATATATTTCGGTCTGGGTTGACAATTATTATTCCTTGAGATTGTTTCTTCACAAAGATTAAAAACAAATTGTGTAGATGTGTGAGTATAGAGTCGATCTAATTAACGAACTTTTGCGTGAGTCGGGGCTGTATGGGCCTAAACCTAGTAATCACCTCATTTAACTAACCCAAAAATGTCAGTGTCACTGTCAAAAATTATGAATATTGGATTGATTGGATGGATATGTATAAATTAAAAACAGTACAGCTCATATTAAATTCAAACTACGAGGTAAAAAAAGACTTAGAGTTTTAACTTTCAGAAAATGACTTAACAACCCACTATTATTTCATGCGTGGGGAAATTTCATTTGACCTACGAAAAATGCCCATCCGACCTACGAAAAATGCCCATCCGACCTACATAACGTGTCCAAGCGACAGCTTAAAGTAGGTCGGATGCACCAATATGCTGTTTCTAACGTGCCCATCCGACCTACAGTGCAACGGACCTACCACAGCTGTTAAAACCACGTGCTTGTAGGTCGGATGGGCAGTAGAGGGGATGGGCGTAGGTCCAAAAATACACCATCCTTGATAATCAATGAATCAAGTTTTCGTATGTTTAGAGTTAATTAGTTGAAGTTAGCGGCATCTAGCGCAGCCGGGAACCAAGTTTTTCAATTTTATCTGAGTCAAACCAACTGAAAGAGTTAAAGTTAGACTTAGTGAATACTGCAATTGTCTTACTGGAAACCCGGGTCCGTCTTAGAGAACGATTTTTGGACCCCCCCCTCCTATCGATTTTTTACATGACCACTTTTTAACAATTTCATTTAAATTAGTCTTTATTTAGGGTTAGGTTAGGTTAAGACACTTTCTGGGCCGATCACTGCGGCTAGGACAGGCTAGGGAACCGAGTGCTGCGGCCAAGGGTTAGGTTAAGTTATGACACTTTTTTTTATTTAGGGTTAGGTTAGGTTAAGACACTTTCTGGGCCGATCACTGCGGCTAGGACAGGCTAGGGAACCGAGTGCTGCGGCCAAGGGTTAGGTTAAGGTAAGACACTTTCGGGGCCGAGTGAGCTGCGGCTAGGACAGGCTAGGGGGCCAAGCGCTGCGGCCACATGTCTTACATTTAAGATCCATGTACGAAAATGATAGGAGGGGGGGGGGTCCAAAAATCGTTCTTTAGGAAATTGCCGGAAACCCTTTTGATCTACATCCGTACTATGAGCCTGGAGTTTCCGACAAATCTATCTACGCACTACAGATTTAACCTTCAGCGAGGGGGAAAATTACTTTGAGCAGACAGTTTAGAGTTCAGTAAAAATGCATATTTCTTCATATGAAAACCATTCCTAAAAACATATAGCAACTAGGACTCAACTCAATTCTAAAAATGGACTGGATGGATTAAACAATTTGCATCCCTATCTACACATTGTCGACAGCTCCTGACTTACGGCTCACAGCTGGCTCATTGAAAAATCCTCTAAAACTAATTATGAGTCACATGCTTCAATTGAAGAGTAATAAATATCAATTTAAATGTTAAAATAATGAAAATTGAGAATTGATAAAACATCTTTGCACAATAAGCCGTTGTTTAAAAAGTTGAAACAAAAGAAAATTAAAAATTTAATTGCTGCAGTGCTAGTCCATGAAATCCCTAATAACCAAAACCACTTTGCAAGATGAAAAAGTTTGGAAAGTATGGTGCAAGTCCAGAATGGCTGAAACGGACCTATCTAAACAAAAATTATAATTTAAAAACATTTAAAATTTTAGAAAAACTAAAAATCATGCGCCTTTCATTTACAGGGCGTCCTACGAAACATGAGAGTAGCAAGGTGTATTTGAAAGTCGTCTTGCAACTTTGAATTTATTTGTAACTTCAGTCATCAAACTACTTAAACATGTATGATTGTTGAAACGATGACCACAAAATTCGCCTAGTCAAGTCCTACCGTCTGCAAAATGTGGTCTGCCTTTTTTGTGCTCTCAATATTACCGAAGATATTGAGAATCTCATTCAGACCACATTAAAGGTATAAAACTACCTTCAAAATCGCCTTGCTACTGTCATGTTTCGTGGGACACCCTGTATGTATGGACACTGAACATAAAAGAAGTAAATTCCAAGTCTTTGTCTAAAAAGTTCCCCCAATTAAACCAAAAATCTCAATATTTTTTTAGGGGAGAGGGGCGGGTTTGCGAGGAAGTGTTGTGAAAGTGTAGACGTAACGTAGAATTTATTGAAGTTTGTTGTTCAATTCAAGAGAATTTAAAAGTTTTTATATATAAAGATAATAAGTACGGGTCAGCGAATTGTGTTCACTTTACTAAATGAAATTATGTAAAATATTGATACATTTCAGATTTCACAATGCTGGCGGCTATGTTAATTATACATATTGGATTAATTGGCGGAGTAAAGCTGGAATATCTTAAATCTGAAAATGTATCTGAAAATGGAATCAACTTCATCAATGTTTACAAATTTAAAGAACGAGGAGATATTGCACATGTCGAGGAAGTAGAATACGATGATTTACGATATTTTGTTTTCAAAGGTTCGAATCCTATCCTTGCTAAATTCTGGTCTTCAGCCTCGTTTAGACTAGATCTAGCTTCTGTAGATTATCAGGTACAAACCAATATTATTCTTCACGAACATAACGTGTTTTTTTGCATTTTAAACGGATTTACCTACATTTTACTTTGATTTTAAGATTTATAATTGGAGTATCTCAGGAATGTTCATGAACACACCCTATAAACAGGGGCAACCGAGAGCTTTAGTGTAGGGATGGGGGGGGGGGCAAACAAATATGTGCACCCCCTAGAAGTCGTTGTGCCTCCCTAAAAAATACTGATCAGTTTTTTAAATCTTTATTAAAGAACCTTATATCTTAAGCTTCTTGTTTATTATATATCAGGGGTGCAGATTTCTTAAAAAATCTTTCCCCTTTTCAAAAAATAATTTTTTCCCACCAGAAACTAGACATGTTTGCAAACTGTTAATTTAAACTTCAAATTTCAAACTGATTTACTTTTATTTTAAGAATAAATATTCGACTAATCAGTGCTTAGGATCCGGATCAGTTGGATCCGCAAGATTTTGGCTTCCTGGATCTAGATCCGCAAAAATATGCGGATCCACGGATCCGGATCCAAGGGGTAAATATAAACCAAAAACTGCAAAAGAAACCTTTTTACGCCTAAAACCAAAATCTAAACTTTTGAAAAAAGAGAGATTATAAAAATTTCCTCATTTCTGAATGGTTCATCAAGTTTTAGGATAAAAATATGCGAGAAAAAAAAATTGGAAAATTATTTTTTGAAGAAAGATTCCGTAAATCTTATAGAAATGGCCTGGGATCCGGATCCATTTTTTTCCAGTGCGGATCCAGGATCCGGATCCGCATCAAAATTAAATGGATCGTAAGCACTGCTTTTCTTTAAGTATCTCAGTTCATACACACACCCTAACACTGTTAATATTTAAGGTTTATATTGGACCTAACATAAGCACGGTTCATCAAATGCATCAATTAAGTGAGTCCGCTTGGATTTATACCCAATTGCCTTGGAGAGCTAAAGAGTTCAAAATGAGTCCATTTCAGGTAAAACAATATTTATTATTTACAGAATACAGTTAACTAAGCTTAAAGAATACTCGACAGTTTAATATTTAAACTTGAGATATTATTATATACAGAAAGTAGTTTACTGTTGCTTCTCTTCAATAGTTTTCTTGATCGATGGTTGGAAAATTCTTCATTGGGGCCTAATACATCCATTCTCTTCACCGCAGCTTCCTTCCAGTCATCATAGTTTTCTATCTGTTCATAAATAGCTTCCAGCCAGGTTTCTTTCTCAGTTCTACTCTCACACACGAAATCTGCATGCTCTTCATTCCAGTTTTCAATGCAGAATTTATCCTGGTCATCACGAATTTGTGAACATGGATCTAATCTTACTTCTTTCCAGGGTAGAAACCCACTTTTATACTCAACGTATGTTGTCCAGAGCTTGAGCTTCCAGTCCACAAGTTCGGCATAACAATCTGCAATGATAATCTCTGACTCCGGCCAGGAAACAGATAGGGTTCCAGTCAGAGATGGTCTCTCAGTTCCGTAGGGATGAACTCCGAGACGGCAGCAGAGCTTTCCAAACAGTATGGGTACCATGTCAACGGTATCTCCAGAGAGTTCGGACTCGATCTGGAAGCATTGAATTGCAGAACTTGCATCAGAGAGATCTAAAGAACAGCTTCCTAGTGATACAAGCTCCGGATCATTTTTATTTGACTTAGGTTTCCGAATTTTAGACTGAATAAATGAGAGAAGATTATTCTTTGGTCTGGTTGATGTTTCGAGCTTGTAGCTGTAAATCTGGATCAAAACCTTAAAGGAAGGTGAGAGAGCGGAGAAGGTTAGGATATCGGGGAATGATATATCAGCTACCTGTCTATCCACTGGAGATACTAACGAAGTATCGTAAACCTGTGTTCCACATGATACTAAAGCAAACAAAGCAAACTTCCTTGAATCGCCTTTATTATTAAGAAGATCGTCCGGTTTCCAAACCAGAGGGATACGAATATCCGACAAACTAACTTCTCCGAGCTTCCACTTAGGTGGGGGTCGGGATGTGGGCAGTTTCAGTTCTTGCTGGTAAGCTTTCTCACGGGTCCTGCTCAGAATAAGAGTTTTGGAGGCTTCTATTCTTTGGACCTGGTTCTGACAGACCTGGAGGAGTTTGTTAGCTCCTGCCATTAAACTGCGTTCTTTTTCAATTTTGCGTAGTACATCTTCACGACCCAAAGTGTCAGTATTCTTCACTCTAATTGATTCTCTCTTTCTGTTTAAAATCTGGAATCTAGTGAATTCTTCCTGAAATTCGGAGTAGGGTTCCTCTCTCTTGGGTTTCTTAAAACTTCGTCTTAATGTATTCATGATGATGGTTAGAGAACAACTGACGTTAATTCTGCAATCCAGTAACAAAATCCCGAGATCTCCCCTCTCCCCAATCTAATGGTCAATACGGCTCAGTAGCAGTGACCGTCAAGCTATTTCAGCCAATGTGGTTAGAGTTTGGGGGGGGGGGGGCAGGGAAAGAATGCGGTCAACTGATCATTAAATTCAAGTTTCATTTATTTTTTTACTTATCAAAATAAAAGTTATTTTTTTAAATCCTCTTTTGTATGAAATAATTTATAAATTTATGTTGTTGATAAATATGTATGTGTGAATATAATTTTAATTTCTTATTTTATTTCAGGATACAGTAGTTGGTGTTAAGACGACCCACGCATACTCAATGACATTGCAAACTAAGACTGTTAACTTTGTGATGACGCTGTTTACTGGGCTTGGAATCTTTATCTTCCTGATGGCACCTCGTCTCAGTAGGTACTGCAATAAGCATATGCTTTTAGCCTACAGAATACAACCTTTAGTTACATAAACGGGAGAGGGGGGGGGGGTCTACACATGCCATTATTTATATGTTAATTGCAAATTGAAGAAATCATTACATTTGATTATAAATCTATCTCCAATTTTGTAGAACTTAGTTGCATGAAGTTGGATTTAGTTAAAATAAAAACTACCTTCTTAAAAAATATAATTTCTTAATTCCTAATAGATACATTTGTTGAATTTAGGAACCAGTTTTTTCACTTCACAACTGGTATATCTGCTGGCATCCTTCTCTCCGTTCTTATCCTCACATTCATGGTTCAGAAGCGGCTCAGGGACAATTTTTATTTCAATTAGCTCCTTGATTTAAACACATATTATTATGCCTAAAATTACTCCTTACCAGGTTTTTCGCACAAAATGATAAAAATTAAAATTAAATGAACAAACTACAATTATTCGTTATTTTTCAGTTTTACTGATTACTCGTGCAACCTCTAATTTTCTAATCAATTATATGTTAGCAACCTTGCCGTAGACCTTTGATTTTAGAAACTATGAATTCTACTTTGTAGTTCAAATAGAATTTTAAATCTCATCACTTATCTCATCAAAGGAACTGCAAAGAGGGATTATAAAATTCGAGTTTAAGGCGAGTGAAAAGTTCCTGTGCTTACATTTGAACTTTTCATTTTGGAGAACAAGATGTGCAGAATGATGTTATCTTAACATGCGAAAGATCCCCTTACTGTCATTAAACGTGATAAAAAGTGATTTTTAATTTATTAATATTAATTTATTATTCATAAGGTATTTTAGTTACCTAGTTACAAGTACTTAATATAATTTCAAGGTATTTTAGTTACCTAGTTACAAGTACTTAGTATAATTTCAAGGTAAATTAGTTACCTAGTTACAAGTACTTAGTATAATTTGAAGGTATTTTAGTTACCTAGTTAAGAGTACTTAGTATAATTTAAAGGTATATTAAATACTTATTTACAAGTACCTGGTACAAGGTACAAGGTAAATAGTTTTAGTTGCAAGAAGTTCTATTTATAACTAGGATTTAAATAACTTGCTTACATTAAAGCTGTTTTAATATTCTTCTAAATATTATTATTTAGGAATATCTGACCGAGCAGTACTTTCATTGGGTTGTAGGATATGTGCTGGGAGCTGGACTACTGAGCTTTGCAATTATCTACCGTCTCGGCCCTCCTTCTAATCCTAGAACAGTTAATCTAATACAGTGGACTATGCAAGGGGTATGTACTAATGTACTGCAAGGCAGTTTTTAATGAGGGTTTATGATCAAAAATAAAATAGTATTAGTATATTAATTTTTAGGTAAGTTTGGTCTGTATAGTTCTATCAAGTTACCACCAGGTGGCGAGCCTAAGTCTAGCTCTTCTAATCCTAACCTGGGCCTCTATACCTGGAGCAGTTAAATCCTCAGCTCAGACAAGGTTCAGGAAAACGTTTCTTCGACCCAAGGTTAAACTTCTCACAGAGGAGGAATATATATCTCAGGTAAATAGTGTTAAAGTAAAATACTATTTGAATCATTTAAACAAAGCTTTCCACGCAGAAGATAAATGCCGGGTTTGCGGAGATTTTTAAAAATCACTTTTAAAGTTTTGCTTTAAAATTTTTGAAATTTGACTATATCCATTAGATATTACCCCCTGCTCTTTTATTGAAGGTAAAACGTTGGATTTTTTTCCACTGTCCACCATATAGTTTATATCTAGAGGAATGCTGAAACTAAACGAGCTCTAGAGGAGTTAAGAAACTACTGTAGGAGTCCTGAGAGTAAACCCTGGCAGACTGTTACTAAACTGAGAACTCCAGGAAGGTTTGCCGAGTTTATAGAGGGATCCCCGCACATCACAGAGGAGGAGGTTATGGAGTACAGTCATTGGGACGATTCAATTGAAACAGATGACGATTCCAGGTCTCTTTATTTTCATTCTCCTAGGAGAGAATGCTTTTGTTATTAAACTTGTTCATTATTCTAAGAGGGGGGGGGGGGGGTTTCCTCTTTTTCCAGACATTTTTCTCACTTAAAAACTTCTGCCTCAAAAGTTTCGAACCCGCGCACGTAACTGCTTTTTCTAAATGATAGATGAAAACAATTGAGGTTCCCCACCTTTACTTGCTTTTTTCATTCATAAGAACGAACTCTCTTATATATCTAATAGTAATCAAGTCTTAATACGTCCTAAGTGTTGCTGTTTTAGTCCAATGTTTCACATTTAATTAAAAAAGCTTCTTTTATACCAGGTTTTTCTGGCTTTCCTCATAAATATGTCAAATCTTTTAACTCTCTCGGGCTCTTGCATAAATATCAAAATATTTTTGTTTAGGTCATCTTTGACAGACGAGGATAATGAGCTGGGGAACAGAAGCTTTGATGGGCAAACTGATAACTAGTTATATCTCCTACAAGACAAGTTATCAATGGTTCAAGACTAGTAATCTCATTTGGTAGATGAGTTATCACTGCTTTCAGCTTTAGTTTGTTTAAGACTAGTTGTATTATTGGATTTTTTATTTGAATCAGTTACTGGTATCACTGATTCCGATTTACTAGCTGGAAACTAGTTACCTCAGATACTGAAAACTTTTGCTATTTTATGCCAAGCCATTTCCTGGTTATAACTCTGTATTAGATAAATATTTAGCTGATCTATGAATGTTGTAATTTTCCAGCGTCAGCACCTAGCTGTATATAATCTAGTCGTAAGATCCATCAGGAGTAATATCCGACTAGGGATAAATATTTTCCAGTATCCATCTCCAATATCAGTTAACAATTTTTATCTCAGAATTAATTAATTATCATTAATTAAGTAGTGAAAAAAATGTTAAAATAAAATAATGATAATGCCCAACAAATAAATCCTTATTTAAACCATCATTACCTATGCTTTAAATTAAGAAATATTTAACCACGTTTTACTTTTGCACCTAATCTTAAAGTTTTAATTTCTATTATGTCATCTTTCTTTGTTTTGTCACGCTAAATTAAAAAATACGAATCCCTTCCTTTGAACAAGAAAAGATTTAATAAAACTTTTTGATTATTATTTTATTCAGTTGAAGATGATTTTGTGAAAGGATTTAAAACATGTGTTGATAGATATGTTTTTATGTTAATACTACATCCAGTGTAAAATGTTATAACTTAAAATAAAAATAGATAAATTCTAGTGGATGTTAATTAAAATATTTTTTCAGCATAAAAATGGCGTCAAAAAAGAAAGGGTTAAGTTTAGAAGAAAAGAGGAAGAAGATGATGGAGATTTTCTTTGAAAGCAAGGATGTTTATTTGCTTAAAGGTTTGAAATTCCATATGATTATTTTCTATTGTCAGTTTGTATAGTTCAAGCATACATTGCTAGGATAACCAATTTTATAAAACCTTTTTTTTGTGAAATGTTTTCTGAAGGTTTTTTGAAATTTGTAACTTTTAAGGAAAGATAATAGATAATTCTACATCGATAGCTGGGATTCAATTTAGTTTACCTGGTTAACTAAAAAGCGTCTCGGAAAAAGTGCGTTTAAGCTTTTTGGAAAACTAAACGTCGTTTTAATAAGTGCTCCTAGTTTGCACAATGCCAACAAATAGGGGGGGGGGGGGGGGGGGGGTCGTGCTCCGACTCTTTTCAACGGTTTATACACAGTCTCCCTAATCAAAATTTAATTCAAAGAAATGATCTAGGATTAAGACTAGTCCTTTGACATAGACTAGGTGTGCGCATCCAAAAAACTCGTCCCTGCTAAATATTTGCAAAGGATCCTTCTAACAGCACTGTTTAGTAAAATCAAACGACGTTTAGCGGGTGAAAAAGCTATTAAAATATTCAGAAAAGGGACCGAGCATATTTTCAAATACAGTCCTAATCAGGAAAAAACCGGAATTAATTTACAATTAATCAGACGATTTACACTCCAATTTTACAAATATGATTGATGAAACGATAATCACAAATAGCTCTAGTCCTGCCATTTCCAAAATGTGGTCTGCCTTTTTGGAGCATTTAAAATTGCCAAAGATATGTTAAGCAGCTTGATGAACTGTCAATTAATTCTGGGTCTTTCTGATTATGACTGTATTAGGTCAACTTTTCATGGTTAAAACGACGGCATTTTATAGAAAATGTTTCGTCGACGCTCCCCCCTCCCCTCCAGTTGTTGGCATTGTAGGAGCACCGTTGAGAAAATAACTTTTAGTTTGCCAAAAAGCATAAACGCGCTTTTATCAGAGTCACCCTGTACTTTCGCCATTTATTAGGTTTTTGTCCCAGATTCGACAATTACATTGAATATTTGTTTTAATGTTAGACCTGGAGAAGATAGCTCCGAAGCTGAAGGGCATTACTAGTATGAGTGTGAAGGATGTGGTGACCAGCCTAGTAGATGACGGTATGGTGGATACTGACAAGATAGGAACTAGTGTTTACTTCTGGGCCTTTCCTAGCAAAGCCTCGGCAAACAGGAAACGGAAACTGGACAAGCTTCAAGAACAGCTGAATACTGTAAGTATTTCATCGTATCTTTTCATAATACCACCTAATTGTTATTTACATTCAGTCCATAGAACATTACAGAATTCTGATTTGAGGCCAGGATATTTTATATTCCTCAATAAATTATTAAAAATTATCCAAAATAACCGACTTTAACATGCCACATTTAAATAATATGTAAACAGTGAGACAACTGGTACATCTTGTAATCCACTAATTATTATAATGTATAGGTTGAGAAAAAAGCCAAATTATCTGAGAAGGATCTGAACTCTGCAGCTAGTGGAAGGGAGGATACCGAGGAGCGAAAGGATATTCTAGATAGGTACTAGGTAGCCTAATCTCGCGCAATATGGAAAGCAATTGGTTTTTCTAAATCTGATTGAATAATCTTATCATTAATAGCCGGAAACATGATCATTCAATAATTACAAAATTTTTCCCTCATATTTTTCATAAATAAAATTTTTTTCACTACCATTAACGCCTGTATTTTTTTAATCTTTTTCTTCTTTAAATTTATCCTTTGTCTCATTTTTCACACATATTGTAATCTTGAAGTTTAAACTGTTAAGGTTAAACGAGGCAGAGAAGAAGAATAAAGAATTGAAGGAGAACCTTGCTCAGTATGCGGATAATGATCCTGAAGTTCTAAAGCAGGTGAGCTAGGATATAGGAAAAATTGTCATCATACATTGAATTAGCGGCATCCAACCTCCATGCCGTCTTTCAATCCTTGAGGGACAGGAAAAGATGCTCAACCCTTTTTTCTTCAGGGGCGTAGTGTGCACACTTACACTTGAACCAAAATGATAGAATTGCCCCGGGAAATTTTAATTACAGGAAAGTATATTTGACTAGATGGAGGTTGAGAGTAAGAAGGCCCTGGAGTCTGTCAATAGATGGACGGATAATATATTCTCTCTCCAGGAGTGGATCAAGAAGAAGTTCCCTTCAATATCCCAGGTACTATATAATATATTTACAATATCGGAAATATTGATGGCTCCTTCCTGATAGGTTTCCTCTAACTTGGGAACTTAGGAAATCTGTGGAATTATTTTATTCAACAAAACATATTATCTTTGATTCTACATTTTTGGGATTTTCTGAATTGTGCATTTCTCTTTTTTTCGTGGGGGGGGGGGGACACCTACTATGTAATTTTTTCCCCCACTAAATGTTTATTAACAATAGAAAACTACTAATTACATTTTAATGAAATAATGTTTAGGCGGAATTCAACAAGCAGTTCAATATTCCTGAGGATCTTGATTATATCCAGTAAAAGAGAGGAAAATAATACTCCAGTGATGAAGACATGACACATATTTTATCATAGTACACATGTTTCGACCTGTTTTGAAGGTGTTTGGTACATTTGTAAAACAGTTTTATGATATCGCGGAGTCTTCTCAGTCGTATTTTCTCTTCAGATTATGCAACTAAGAAAAGGATTTGAAAATTTCTGGAATATTCACCGTTTATCTAAAACTCTTAACGCCGTCTTTCATATTATATTTTTCTATATAGTTTTTATAAACTTGATAAAATATAAATAAATATTTATGCTTTTACCGTTTTACATCGAAAAAAAAACATATGGTCCTAGTGAATCAATTGCGAGTTTCTTTCTCCAAATTAACCTACATACTAAAATATGTTTGTGTGCAAGATAGAAACAAGAATAATGGTTTTAATAATTGAACTGATAATTGATCTTTCTTATAAAAATGTCCAGGGCACACTGAAAGGGAAGACAAAGTTTAAAATTACAAAATTCAAAAAAGTATTTATAAAGAAAAGAAAGAGCAAAGACGACAATCATCTTCGGTTTCGGCTCTGTTAAGGGCAGAACCTTGCTTAACCTAATTATGAATTAATCTATGTCCTAGATGCTACATAGAGCTTTTCAAGGATAAGCCATCTCCGATTATAATTCCTTTTTAATTTAAGCCACCATTATGTTATTGTTTTTAAACCAAACCCCAAAAATAAATCTAAATTAACTTAAAATTCAGTTTAATAATTCATTTTAACAACTGAGCCATTATGTCATATTTTTTTGACACTATTCTTCCAATCCTCCCATGTTCCAATCCAGATATCCAAACCATTAAACCAATCCAATCCAGATGTCCAACCCAAATAAACCAATCCAAAATTGAAGAGGTCTGAAAATACAGCAATATATATTTCACAAAACTTCAAAAGTAACAAAACAAACGGATCTAAAATAATAAAATATTACAAGTAATTATGTAAAACACTTAAAATCGGAATGATATATTACATGAATTAAAATTGGCAAAATTTAATCTGTGTTTTTAACCCTCGTTTTACTGTAGAATAATAACTAGAGGTCATTTTATAAAAGAATAGTACAAGGTGTCCCAATAAACATGGGAATTGAGTGAAGCATTCGAGATCGGCTTTGTTCAGAATTAGCATTGTAATACCTGATTTCAAAAAAATCTTCTCCGTAGGTAATACTAAATTAAAGAATTATTTAAAAAGACGATATCGAAATCGTCACTCAATTCCCATGTTTATTGGGTCACCCTGTATTATATGTGATGTTCGTGATTTTGTTCTGACAAGAAATTACATCAGCTTGTTAAACATTTCTTGTTTTGGGGTTGTATTACCGGAACGAAGGTTTATCCGCACTACATCTAATGGGTTGAATATTATAGTTCAGATAAACATTAAAAGAATAATTGAGAAAGTTTTCCTTTTTAAATTAAATTTAAAACGGATTTTCGATGTTCAGATTTTTAGAGTAGGATTGTCATAATAACTTCAAAGTGACGTAGGATATCTAAAATATGCCTTGATAAGGAAGATTGAATCTTTTTAAAAAAAATATTGTCAAGAGATAAGAAATGTGGTGCTTACTCCAGTAGTTTGTGTGATTATATGATATTTAAGAAATTATTCAGAACAATAAAAAATCTCCGTATAGCAAAAAAAATATGACTTATCAATTGAGAATAAAATAAAATAAAAACCATAAAAATGTCTAAATTATCCTTAGGAATTCAAGAAAACATATCACAATAGGTTAAATAGGTCGGCACTCGGTAGCTCGCTAATTTGTGCGGTCTAAGGTTTCCATCTATAGTGTCTTCCACAAAACAAATATTGCGTGGCTTTTTTATTAAAAAAAAAATTCAAAATTAGTATAATATTTAGTTTCAAGTAGATATACTCGGTATTTCGTCTTGAACCAATGATAAAAACTGTAAATATTTTCCGATTTTTAGAAGATTACGCCAAGCACAGTAATATTCTCAACTTATCGAGAAATTATCATGTCCATGGAATGAATAAATAGATGAATAGAGTGTTAAAAGTCTAAGCTCTGAAAGAAGATACAGTACAGAGATATGTTTAAAAACATTCCTGATAAATATTTAGAATTATAGTATTTACAGATTACACTAAGGCCAGGCTTAGGCTTGTTTTCAAGTAAGAAAAACCTTAAATGTTGAATTATATGTTGAACAGCCAATTCACAAATCAAAGACTATAAACAGATAGACAAAATATACAAAAAAAAAGTTTAACTTATATTGACATACTTCTCAAACCAACTGTCCTATCAATCAAAAATCATCAAGTTTGGAACCCTTCGAATTATCATCCGTCTTAACACTTGTGGGATCTATCTTCTGTATCCGCTGTCTAAATATAAAAATGGAACTGTTAGTCCTTATTTTGTCAAAAAAAACCATAAGTTTTGATTATCATTAATATTTGTAGACTGAAAAATATTAAAACTGCCAAAAGGAAATTCTAAAAATATGGACAAAAGATGGCAATGTAGAGGGTTAGCTTCAAAGGATGAGCATTTAATGACGACCTGCAACTCGATATATATATCTGTAGGTTAAACGTGGCTTCTGCCTGCAATTATAGTGCATTTAATGATATGGCAATAGAAAATAATTTACAGCTGCAGGAAACAATACATGCAAGAATAAATACTTAATAAATTCAGTCGTTTGTGAAGTCTCATCCTTTGTGGATAACCCTGTATAAAATTTAGAGAAATAGTTTCGGATTATCAGTTATCATGAAATTTTTCTTATTTCTACTCGTCTTTTACTGGAATATTCTGTAAGTACAGGGTGTCCCACGAAACATGACAATAGCAAGACGACTTGAAAGTCGTCTTTGGTATTTGAATTTATTTGTGACATTTAGTCTTCTATCTACTTTAACATGTATGATTCTTGAAACAATTACTACATAATTCTCCTAGCCCTGGCATTTCCAAAAACTGGCCTGCATTTTTTGTGCTTTCAATATTACCGGAGATATAAAGAGTTTGGTTCAGATTTCAATTTTGTTGAATAAAAGCAAAATTGTCGAAATCTGAACGAAATTCTTCATATCTCGGGCAATATTGAAAGCACAAAAATGGCAAACCCCATTTTGGAAATGGCAGGACAAGGGAATTTTTGTGATTATTATCTCTAGAAATTTACTTCTAAAATTAGGTTGACAAATAAACGCAGCAAATTATATCAAAAATCAAGACGACATTCAAGTCATTCGGCATACTCATGTTTCGTGGGACACCCTGTAATTCAGTTTGCGATAACAAAGTTATAACGGTATCTTAAAAATGATCTACCGTCATCGTGGGACTTAAAAGGTTTTAGAGTTTAAATGAATATGAACATTGTCTACATTTTCCTAATATACGAGTGACAAAGTTCTTAATAATAGTTTTATTGTCAACTTTAAAGCTACAATAAGGCTTGTTATAACATTTTAGAAATTCCGTCTTTAAGAATGCATGGTGATTAATGTATTTATTATGATTAGTTACCATGGTTTCACATATGCATGCCTCTTAAATCAATGTCTTGTTTTGATTTCCCAATTTAAGAATTCTCTTAATTTTAAAAAGTATTTTGAACAGATCAGGTATCACATCTTTTATGCTGCAAATTCCGGGATCAAGTCGTTATTATTATCTTGTGCAGTCGTAATGATGGAATTTAATCCTTTTGGATATTCTGTTATGGTCGTAACCGGATAGGATAAATAAAATTTACCGAGCTATATCTATCTGATGAATATTTATGCCTAGGCCCACAATGAATATGAGAATGAAGATGAATATACCTCTACAGTCTACATCAATGTGTGCATAATGAATAGGCTCACAATGAATATAAGAATAAAGATGAATACACTTTTATCTACCAGATGAATATCTATATCTAGACCCTCTATGAAGATGAATATACCTTTATACATATCTGATGAATATCTATATCTAGACCCTCTATGAAGATGAATATACCTTTATATATATCTGATGAATATCTATATCTAGGCCCTCTATGAAGATTAATATATTTATCTATCTGATGAATATCTATATCACCCTCTATGAAGATGAATATACCTTTATATATATCTGATGAATATCTATATCTAGACCCTCTATGAAGATGAATATACCTTAAATATATGATGAATATCTATATCTAGACCCTCTACGAAGATGAATATTCCTCTGTATCTATCTGATGAATATCTATTCCTAGGCCCTCTATGAAGATTAATATGTTTATCTATCTGATGAATATCTATATCTAGACCCTCTATGAAGATTAATATATTTATCTATCTGATGAATATCTATATCTAGACCCTCTATGAAGATTAATATACCTCTATATTTATCTGATGAATATCTATGCCTAGACCCTCTATGAAGATTAATATATTTATCTATCTGATGAATATCTATATCTAGTCCCTCTATGAAGATTAATATACCTTTATACATATCTGATGAATATCTATGCCTAGACCCTCTATGAAGATTAATATATTTATCTATCTGATGAATATCTATATCTAGGCCCTCTATGAAGATGAATATACCTCTGTATCTATCTTATGAATATATATGCTTAGGCCCTCTATGAACATGAATATACCTCTGTATCTATCTGATGAATATATATGCTTAGGCCCTCTATGAACATGAATATACCTCTGTATCTATCTGATGAATATCTATGCTTAGCCCCTCTATGAACATGAATATACCTGTATGTCTATCTGATGAATATCTATGCTTAGGCCCTCTATGAACATGAATATACCTGTATGTCTATCTGATGAATATCTATGCCTGGCTCTATGAAGATGAATATACCTCTATGTCTATCTGATGAATATCTATGCCTAGGCCCGACGTGTCTAGGACGAGCGTATGTGACACGAATCCGTTTCCCCGCTACATCAGCACCCTCAGCCTCCTCACATGCATCCTTTAAATACAGTTCATCTATTTAAAATGCATGTTTATATTTTACTAGCTAAAGGGCCAGGCGTTTTCCGTAAAAAAATTTGAAAAAAAGAAAAAAAATATTTTGAAAAAAAATCTTGAATTTTTTTTAACTTATAACACCCCTCGCTACCCCTGAGTGTCCACAACAAATTTCCGCCCAATCGGTCCAGCCGTTTGGCCGGCTATGGACAACATATGTATATATATATATATATATACGAATGTCTTATTTTATCAAATAGATAAGTAGGATTAAAAAAGACTGAACTAGTAAGTTCAAAGAGTTATTTATATTGACAGGGTTGTTGTTTGTCCCTAACTTTCCTTTCCTTAATTCTAGTGGATCAAAGATTAACATGTTCTTTTATACCTGAGCATCCAACCGGTTTCTGTAAACAACAAAAGCATAGAATGGAGCATAGCTGGCCAACCAGATCTCTTTCAATGGTCCATACTTCATGAAAACGCGCTCCAGGTCCTTCTTTCGTGCATGCTCATCTAAATCTACGAAAATACAAGATAATCAATTTAAGATATGTTATTTTTTCAATTGTCTTTTATATTTATAAATTATATAGACCTGCAATGTGAAGCCTGTAACCATCTGGATCTGGAGATAGGTTTCTTCTCGATCGTGATCTTGATCTTGATCTTGATCTTGATGAGGATCTTCTACTGTAAGACCTTCGTCTTCGGGAACTTCGAGATCTTCTTCTGCTATAAGACCTGGATCTTTTTTTGCTCCTGCTCCTGTATCTATCCCTGCTTCTAGATCTGCTTCTACTCGTGGATCTTCTCCTACTGATAGATCTTCGACTATTTGATCTTTTACGACTGTTTGATCTTTTACGGCTGTTTGATCTTTTACGGCTGTTTGATCTTTTACGGCTGTTTGATCTTTTACGGCTGATTGATCTTTTTGGTGAACTTCTTCTGCTTCCTCTATCAGACGACCTACTTCTGGACTTGGATCTTATAGCCTTTTTAACAGAAGATCCTGATCTGGATCTAGAGTTTTGTTTGCGGACCTGAGAACCTTGTCTTGAAGAGTTTTGAATCATTTTATCTGTCTGAAATATTTCTTAAAATTAGACGTTTTAAATTGACAAAAATTCTAAATCAGTGTATGAACTTCATATTTTTCTATCTTTTATTTTTAAGATTTTGCTCCGACCCATATCTTGTTTTATCACAACTGACACGAGTTCACTTTATATCTATCTATCTCTCTCTCTCTCTCTTTACTATTTAAAGTTTAAAGGTTGAGGGGGGGAGAAGGTTTACTGATTTTACATGAGGTTTGCCAGAGTGTCAGGTTACTACTGCAGCTGTACTGTTCCTTTATCACGATACAACAGGTGTTTTGAACCTTGATAAGCCGGGTTGAACTCCGACTACTATTCTGCTACTAGGCTCTGTATGCGTGGTGAGAGATAATAACTTGAACTGTTGAATTGATAGAATTGCTGTCGTGTCCCTACATACAAGGTTATTGTGCACTATATATTATATAGCTTTCATATATTCAATACCTGAACCCTGTGATCAATACTACTTTAATATACACAGCGCAAATATCAAACATTAATTTTTATAACGAAAGGAAAGCTTCCAAGTAGGCCAAGTATATAGACGGAGAAACGAACAAAAGTTGTATCATATTTTAAGAGTATATCTTGGGTACAAAATCATACAGGGTGTCCCACGAAACATGACAATAGCAAGACGACTTGAAAGTCGTCTTTGATATTTGAATTTATTTTTGACATTTAGTCTTCTATCTACTTTAACATGTATGATTCTTGAAACAATTATCACATAATTCTCCTAGCCCTGGCATTTCCAAAAAGTGGTCTGCGTTTTTTGTGCTTTCAATATTACCGGAGATATAAAGAGTTTGGTTCAGATTTTATCTTGAGATATATTTAAAGTAAAGATATTTTTTCAAGAAGTATCTCAATTTTGTAAGAGAAATAAGAACACTTCCCTTTTTTATGATCAAATTAATGGATATTTTTAAATGTCTTATTTCCAAACCTATCCATTTAATTAATTCTTTCCGGCCTCCCATACATCTTTTGATATTTAAAAATCCTAATTTTGCATTTTTGTATTTTGCTTTACCTGGAACCTTACTAAAACATGTGTTCCTTGGTTAGAAAAGTGGATATCACAGTTTTAAACAGGTATACTATAGATATAGTTTTAAACAGGTATACTATAGATATAGTTTTAAACAGGTATACTATAGATATAGTTTTTTAATCTCAAATTACAGGCACCTTGTTTGAAATCAAGATATTAGATGAATGTGAAGATACATAATTGCTCTTCTTCAAGTTCGTGATCTTTTTACAATCCCCGGTGTACACAAAATACCCTTTATTTAATATAGTAGGAGTAGTAGGGTTAGAAGTCTCAAGAGAAACTATGGCAGGTAGGACTCAGGTAGTACAGTATAGTTTAGGAGACGGTTTAGATCAAACTATCTCAGGGATACACATTACACACGGAGAAAGGTAAAAAGAAAAATTGTATTCTTCATAAGTTTTCTAAAAAAGTGAATGGTTTATTTGGCGGACTGTCCCGATTTACCTTATAAAGTCTGTGTGTGTACTGTGCTCTATAGCTCCTTGAAAGTCGGCCCGGTTCTTGAAATAAACCGGAGTTTACAGTGATTCAGCTGTCAAAGTATTCTAGTTATTTTTACACACAAGTGAAAGAAACTAAACTAGTTTTGTCGCAAATATAAACTTAGTTTAAACAAACAAAAAAGATACAAATAATATATTCAAACCATAAAATAATTTTAAGATGAACATTTCTAAGAAAAATCTAAGCTCTAAGACCTACCTCTCACCCTGTCACTTCCATACACGAATAGTTATTTTTTTTCAGTATACAATTGTATTGTATACAATTGTAATTTTTTTCACCAATCCCAATTGAGAATTAACTTAAATTGATTTAGATTGAAACTCGAACTATTATATTGTGTTAAATTCTGCACATTTTAGTTTTCTGATATGCTGATATTTTATGTCTTTGTCATCTTTCCAAAAATCGGCTAAATCGTTGGGCCAAATTTTTTTTGTGGCAGCACACATGACCTCATGGGGGAAAACGGCGGCTTAAATAGTAACCTTTAAAAGCTGAAATTGTTACTGGTAAAAGGCCTAATTCCATATATGTGTGCAAGCTTACTATAACTTGTTACAGTGTAACACATCAAGAAAAAAAGAAAAAAGTAAATTTTATCCAAAAAGGTTTTAATCATTTTAAGAAACTTTCAATTTCTCCAAATAACATTCAGTTTATTTTACACCTAACAATCTTATAAACATACATTAACTATCTATTTATATATTTGGTTTTTATGTTTGTATCCAATAAACATAAAAACGGCTGAACTGATCGGGCCTGGTTTTTTGTAGTATCTCACATGGCTTCAGGGTTTATGGACAGTCTGAATGTTTTTAAAAATTTAACTGTTGTTATTTCTAATGAGGGTTGCCGGTGTCTTGCATGGGGCGGACTCCTCCTAAAGTTTCACCATCTTAACACAATGTTAGACATAAAAAGCAATGTTATGACAACTCCTGTATTTATTAATGTTTTTTGATTTGAAAAACGCATTCAAAATTATCTATGTCCCGAGTAAATATTAATTGTTTGATGATTTGAAAGGAAGACAACATTTAAGAGGAATGCATTTTTTTGCCTTTACCCCCTTTAAAATACATTTCAGAACTAAATGCGTATTAAATAATTTAATAATTTTTAATGTTTTAACATTGCTTTTTATGTCTAACATTGTGTTGAAAAGGCTAAAACATTAAGGGTCAAGTCCGCTTCATGCAAGAGTCCGCCCCATGCAAGAGTCCGCTCCATGCAAGAGTCCGCTCCATGCATGACACAGGTAAATACATTAAAAAGCTTGCCAAATCAAAAGTGAAAGGGTATGAAAACATCCTGGAAGACAAGTATTTTATATCTATATAGTAAATTCGCAAATTATTTGCGAATCCCTTTAAATACCTCATATTAAAAAATCCCCCCTCCTATAGTCTTATGAGAGGGGCGCGCCGGCTAAACCATTTTTGCCCCCCCCCCCCCTGTTATAGATGAAATCCTATACACACTCCTCACCCCTGAACAATCTTTCATGAGTTTGATGTACATTAAGTACTAGCTATGGTAACCAAGAGATGTCTAGTGTAGACATAGTTAAAGTCCCACCGTTTACCCACGCTTTGTCGTAAATTACGATTTTAACTATTTTCCGTGTAAAAGTGGACCCACTTAGAATCTCAAAATCATGCTAATAATATTCCCGTGGCTCTCTCGAGTCCACCAATTAAAATTTGAGGCAAATATGTTCTGGGGTTCCTGAGTTATGATCGGACAAACAAACAACTTTATATATGTATATATAATTTATTATAAAGCTTTAATCTTTACAGAAGAAACAGATGAATAAGAATATTGATCAAGTGTGCGGACTGAATGAGAAGAAATAGAATAGATTATCAACAAGGAATTCTATCTGAGAAATAGTTCTTTTGCAATCTAATAAATTTTCCCTTAGGTTAATCAAAAGTCATCAGCTGTAATATTTTGTGAGCATTTTCTCGTGCAGACATTCTCTGATTTGGATTTTTTTTCCAATTTATATAAAAATTTAAAGAACGAAAAAATCTTATTTATTTATGAACTATCAAAAAAAACCACAACCCATCCTTAACGATGAACAAATTTTTTTCACACAAAATTCAACGTTTTCAATCACAGTTTTAAATTACAGGAAACTTGAACAGTTTCGAAAATATATATATATATATAGACCCTGACTCGCTCAGCTCGCGTGGAACAGAGAGAAACGTGTTTTACTCTTTTAGAGACTATGACCTCAATTAACCCTAGATTGAATATTGTTTTTGTTGATATTTTTTCTCTTTAAGATTTTCATAATAAGTACTGGAACACCTGTAAAATCCGTGGTTCAGGTAATATATTTATGATGAACTCCTTGGTTTAGATGATGAATCAGGGGTTTAGGTGATAAATTACAAGGTTTAGATGATAAACTTCTAAGTTTTATGAAAATGTTCAAGATAACATATTTTCAATACTATACAATTAAAAATGTCAAAATGAAAATTAATATTTTTAAAATTAAAGGGACTGTAAACGTAATTTTAGTTTGATAGAATGGGCTTTCCGATCCACAGCTTTGTCCGATCATGTATGAATTAAATATTTATGTTTTTTTTTTTTTTTAAACTGACTATTTTTGTTTGGGGGTTTTCTACAAAAGTGACTTGCCCATATCTTGATTCAGAAACATTAAAAGAAAAGGTTAATTTTAAACTAGAAAAATGATGTTAATTCCACAATATTGATCAGATTAAGGTTTCAATGGTACCGTTGTGAATAGCAGCAGTCACTTCTTTAAATGAAGGGTCACTTAAGATTACAAGGACGGTCTGTTAAGTAAAATATCTAAAGAAAGAATTATGTAGATGATGTTAAGAGAAGATATGAAGATAAAGCACCAGCAATCTATCTTGAGAGAAGAAGGTAACATATTGAGAAAAAAAAATGTAATCTTCATTTCTGATTTTTGATTAGATTAATATACAAACTGTTGTGGATTAAACAATTAAGATAGGAGTTGTTAAATTAATATATATCTTTAACCCCTCTCCCCTCTCCCTGGAATATCAAAAAATTCCTGTATACGCCCCTGTATCTCTTACCAATTTAGGCTAAAGAACTATCTGTTTTACGGAGATACGAGTTCCGCTCTATATCATCAAACATTTGGAAATTCTTCCTTCCACTACAGGATACAGGTAGGGTTTAATACAGGATACAGGTAGGGTTTAATACAGGATACAGGTAGGGTTTAATACAGGATACAGGTAGAGTTTAATACAGGATACAGGTAGAGTTTAAGACAGGATACAGGTAGGGTTTAATAGAGGATACAGGTAGGGTTTCATACATGATTCAGGTAGGGTTTAATACAGGATACAGGTAGGGTTTAATACAGGATACAAGTAGGGTTTAATACAGGATACAGGTAGGGTTTAATACAGGATACAGGTAGGGTTTAATACAGGATTCAGGTAGGGTTTAATACAGGATACAGATAGGGTTTAATACAGGATACAGGTAGGGTTTAATACATGATTCAGGTAGGGTTTAATACAGGATACAGGTGGGTTTAGTACAGGATACAGGTGGGTTTAATACAGGATACAGTTAGGGTTTAATACAGGTAGGGTGTAATACATGAAACAGGTAGGGTTTAATACAGGATACAGGTAGGGTTTAATACAGGATACAGGTGGGTTTAGTACAGGATACAGGTAGGGTTTAATAAAGAATACAGATAGGTTTTAATACAGAATACAGGTAGGGTTTAATACAGGATACAGGTAGGGTTAGGTACAGGATACAGGCAGGGTTTAGCACATTATAAAAGCAGGGTTTAGTACAGGATACAGGTAGGGTTTAGTAAAGATACAAATAGGGTTTAGTCCAAAATACAGGTAGGGTTTGGCACAGGATACAAGTAGGGTTTAATACAAGATACAGGTAGAGATACTGTACCGGTACTTCAAATGATCCGGAGTTTTCAGTCCCTACCTGTATCCTATACTAAAACATACCTAGAGATATTAATGTGTAGGGTTTAATAATCTACATATTATAGAAAACATAACTTATTACAGGATATAATGTTGATCTTGTGGAATTTAAAGTTAAACTTCAGGTTAAAAAATTATCTTTAGGATATTTCTAGGATGGACTAAATAGAGGAGATCAAAACATAGATCAACAGTGCTTAGAAGCGTCTAAGGGACAGTCTGCTCTCTTAAACTTCACTGAAAGTATTACCAGGAGATTTAACAATGATTCTGAAAATAAACCTAAGAAATATCCTGTTGGAGAACAGGGGAAAACTTTGGTTCTAAGTTTTCAGCATTCATTGTCCAAACCAAAGGAAAGGGATGGTGTAGCCTCGGACTCCTCAACATGTTCAATTCTTTGATAGACGAATTTTACGAATTAATGCTGCGTAATTCAGGACTAGATTTCAGTTGATGTTTATAAAGAAGATTCTCAGCTTAGTGTGTATACTGTATATCATTACCAGGGTTTCAGCTCATTAAAGGAACTGAAAGCATAATTTCAAGTGACCCTCCATACGAAGATGACAATGTCCGATTCAAGATGGTACTCTTAAGGGAATTATATATCAATGTTTTTAATTATGAAAACTGATAATTTTTAAATGCGGGTTCTATGCAAAAGTGAGTTATGCATTTCTACTGCAGGAAAACACATAGGAATTATAAAAAAATAAAACACTTATAAACCTAGAAAAACGACCAAATCTTCCACATAATTATTCAACTGACAAAGATTTTTAAGGGCACTTTTGTTAATCGGACATTGCCATCTTTGCATGGAGGGTTACTTGAAATTACGCTTACAGATCCTTTAAGCCAACATGCAGGGGAACATAATTTGCATATAAGTTCGTAGACTATACATATATATAGATATATTTTTGTAATTTATTCTTCAATTTGTAGGTTAAGTTGGTCAAAGTTAATGATTAATACCAAGAACTCCCATAGCTTTATTTACAAATGAAGAAAACTGCAGTTCTGGGTCGTTAGCTTAATTAAAATCTGAATTTATGTAAACTAGATCGTTAGCTTAATTAAAATCTGAATTTATGTAAACTAGATCGTTAGCTTAATTAAAATCTAAATTTATGTAAACAATTGAGGAATATATTGTTTTTTATCTTCATTTAAAGCGACATCATTTTAGAAGAAGCTTGTAAATCATTTCATCAAATAATGGGTCTGTATACACTGTACATTGCACATTACAAACAGCTGTGTTTCATGTTCATGTTGGAATATTTAAAATCATAACTTATTCTATAAGTCGTCTTCCTACACCACATTTTCATTTTTCCTACCACTATTAAATTGTACCTGGAGACTGCTAGAAGAACTAGACTATTTCCAGCAATAGCTAAAGTTACCATTATACAGTAGGCTGGAGCTAACAAGCTAACAACCCAGCCGAGCTAGAAGAAAAGGAGATTCGTTTAATTTAGAGCTAGAGCATGAAAACTCCATTGACCAATCGAGTACTATGACTATAAAGAAAGGATTTAAGACACTTTAAATTAAAGAACTGCCAAAGTTGATCAGTTTTGGAAGCTAACGGATCCTCCATAAAACAATTAAGAAAATGGAGTTTCACTATTATATATATATATTCATTAAATTTAATCAGAAAATATGTTCAAAAACATGAAAATGTAAAACTATTTTCAATTATATGGAAATGGTCTAATAGTATTTTACATTTTTTAACAATAAAACAATTTTTTTAATATTTAATAAAATAAATCGCCACTTTATTTTTGTATTTTGAAAGAACATTTTCGAAATAGCTGTATCAAATATCTTCGAAATTAATCAATGTTCTTAAAAAATATTCCTCCCAGAACCTGTAGTACTATTTATTTGTAAACAAAGGTATAAAAATTCATGGTTTAAATATTTTCTATTGTTTGTAATCATTTCCTAAAGGAATTGAGTCTTTGCCACAAACTCAAATATTCTAATCCCTATATCTATTGAACCTGATGTTGTAGACTTTTGATATTTCAAACTAAGATAATTTGATGAAACAAAGTACATCGTTTGAAATATATAAGGTCTACGACAATGGGTTGCAGAGATGTAGGAATTATAAAATTAGAGTTCGTGTCAAAGACTCAACTCCTTTGTTTGTCATATAAAACACATTTACATTGTATCAGACTTGATGAAGTGGTTAACATGAATAGTATCGGAGATGGGAAAATAATATTGAACTAGGTAAAAGCTACTTCAACTCCTGGTGCATGCAGGTCAACACAAGAAGTTCTGCTATTTATACCTAGTTCAGCAACACACAATTATTTAGAGAATATCTGTGCTTGTGTCAAAATATTTACATTTATAAATTTTCTGTTTTTGTATTTGAAAATGGCGTGCAGAGATATTAAGTTCACCTATATTACTAGTTATCCGTGTATAGACTCAAAACATATATACATATTCATACATATATCTTTCACGATTGATGATATCTAGTGAAATAAATACATAATTGAAAACTTTGGACTTTATTCGATATATAGAATTAGAATAAATTAATTAGATAATTATTCAAGATCGGATCGAAAATGGTTTAGAAGGACTGTAGGCGTAATTTCAAGAAACCCTCCATGCAAAGATGGCAATGCCCGATTCACAACGGTACCCTTGAAACCTTTATCGGAAAATAATAAAGTGAAAAAATGTCGCTTTTAGCTTTTAAAGTGTTAACTTTTACATAATTGAAATAATTAGTTTTTAAAGTTCTATATATTAAAATCTAATTGTGAACTCGCATTGATGCCATCTATGCATGAAAGGTCATTTGGACTTACGCGTACAGTCTTTTAAAGATATTTTGAGATAACTGTTTCAAGTAATAATAATTCATCTATAGCGTAAAAGATCAGATTAAAGTTTAATTTTTGTATTTTTAAAAATGAAATGCATTTTTTATTTTCATGATGTAGAATTTTATAAAGAATGATAATTGCAAATAACTTGTCAAGGTTTTATCTATATAAAGTTTCTGCACTTCATTCATTCCTTGTTTATCAACTAGAATCTTGAAACTGCAGGGGAGCGCGGCGCGTATTAAAGCTCTGATTGGACCTGGAGATAGGGTTGGGTTGGGTACTTGTAAAGAAACCTAGATATAGGGGAGAAAACCCGGGGGTTTGATTCTTCATTTCCTGCTCAGTTGAACCCAGGATATTGCGGAGTACAGAACAGTTCATCTAATTCAAATCAAAAAATGTATCTAATACTTTATCTGCATTGTTGCCATGTTACAAATTTATAATAATTCCCTTTTTATGAAGTAACAATGACATATTAAAATGAAAAAGTAAATGCAAAGTCCAGATAATATTGTTGCAATAAAGAATTAGTTATCAGATTATAAAATGAGAGAGGATAAGAACTGTTTGAAGAGGATTTTTTGGCTCGCTATAATATGCTCGGTATTAACATTAACAATGTGCATTAACTGCCAGTTTATCAGGGACCGGATTTAATGAGTTGTCAGAAGTTGTTGAACTACGTAGTTGGTTAAAATCCCGAATCACCGATTCAATCTCAAATTAAATACCTAAATTCTCATGAACCTTTAACTTTGAATCGATGATACAAGAGTTGAACCGGCAGTAGGTAATTCAGAGACCTCTCCAATTCAATAAATTCGGACCCAGGTTTTAAAGAAAATTAGCATGATATATTTGAGAGGGTAATGTTGATTATTAATCCTAGAAACACGACTGGCCTTTGTCTGCTTAAAATAATTCCGTTTTCGTTTTAGTAACTTAAACTTCACAAGGTTTCCAAAATATGAACATTTTAATATTATAACACGTCTCGTCTGTGAGATAAGTTCTGACGGAATTAATCTCAGCCACTTCTTTAATTTAAACATTCTCGAGTCCGCCTCAATTTCTTTTTATTTATTTTCCTTGTCAATCTGATGTATGTGAAATAATTTCATGGAGTTTTTCCAAACTCAAACTTATCTAATACAAATCGCTTTAAAATCTAATATCTCTTTTAAAAAAAAATTATTTAATTTTATTTCATTTCATTTGTTTAGTTTCGTTAAGCAATTTTTTATTGAAATCAATCTTATAAAAGTAAAAGTAGCTATAAATGTTTTTATAGACATTTAGAATTTCTTTTGACTTAAAAATTCGTGGGTTTTAGTGTTCATTAGAATTGTATAACTCACATAAGAGCTATTTTTTTATATATTTTTATACAAAAATTCTGGTTTATTTTATTAGTATGCACATTGTATTAGTTGGCCAAAAACTATGAATTAATTAAGTTGAATATATTCCCGTAAAATGATTAAATTAATTTTCCAACTTATAAATGATTTATTTTCTAGAAATCCGCGAACATTATCATGAAAATCCACAATTCGGAACCAGTTTCAGTCTTCATCAGTCTTCATTAATTGAAAGGTAAATAAGCCTATTTTAGTTATAATATCTGCTTTAAAAATTTGCTTTTGTAGTTTAATGGTTATCCTTTAACTTTTAATTTATTTAAATGGATTATGATTCAATTTTAACATTTTAAAATTATTAAATTGAGTGTTTGCCACAAAATCTGATTTTCTAATCCCAATATCTTCGGAACCCAATGTCATAAACCTTTGATATTTCAAACTAATATTATTTTATCTAACAAAAGTCATATTTTGAAATGTCAAAGATTTACGACGTTGGAATCCAAAGATATAGGGATTAGAACATCACAATTTGTGGAAAAGACTCAATTCCTTTATTTATAGAATGGTTGTGACATTAGAAGAGGGGGTTCACTTCAGATTTTCAGTGACCCGAAGACGCTTCCCCAGGAGGATGATCTACAGAAATGTAGAAATGTTCCTGGGAAGTGAATTAGCCGCCTATACCGGGCAGGACAATGGGAGAATCTACCGCAACCCAGAAGTACGCCTAAACCGTATTTTGTTGACCTCAAATATAAGAGACCAGCTTAGGATCCAGGTAATTTTTACCAAACAAAAAATTGTAAACAAAGTAAACAATTTTTGGACACCCCACCCCCCAGTTCTATCAATTTTGAACATAACCAGCAGTAATTTCCTAATATATGTTTTTTTTACCCCCCCACCCCACCCTTCTCCCTCCTATCAATGATTTCAAATGTAACACTTTTATTATTTTTGATGACACGCAGGGACACAGCCTTCCTCGAAACAGAACGTACCTGGTGCCCACACACACTGTGGAGCTGAGGGCCAGATGGAACTTCAATAGGATCCTGGCCTTTCCGGCCATCCTAGTCCTGGTGTTGGTCCTGGTCCTGCTATGGTCTGACTTCTAAAATCCCAAAGGTAAGTCATATTTTCCTGCCACTTCTTTTAAAGAACCGCCATATTAACTTATTTTACATTTTGAAAATGCGCGCATATATATTTAAACTTAAAACGAATAGTTTGCAGGGTATTCAAATTCTGTTTCTTTACTTGCTTTTCTGTCCTGTGCCTGCATGTAATTGTAAAGGAATTCATTTCAGTCTAATCGAATAAATCTATATTTTAGTAATCTTGACAAATTGAAGTCATTGTTTAAGATATTGAAGGTCTAAGATATCAGGTTGCCAAAATATTGGGATTCTATTCTAAAGATTTGCTGCAAATTCTGCTTCTTTCTTTTAATGATTTCTGTTTTGAGTGGTATATAGAACAATCTTTTCAAAGGTACAATTTAATTAGCAGACAATTTGCATTAAATTTATTATTTAAAGTGCGAAGTATAAAAATGACAAAAAGTACTGCATTTTTTTAACCCTGTTTTCTGGACACAATTCTATATTTTCTGCAGCAAGAACAAATGTTATTTTTTCGTCTTTCCTATCTGAAACGAGTCCACTTTTCATTCTATATTATTTGTTTTAAAGTTCTATAAGGGCTAAAATTTTCTTTGAAATCCTGAAAACACATTCAGTAATATAAAGTTTTTAATGTTCACATATGTTTTCTTTCTATTAAAGAAACCAATTTTTATCTTGTCTCTACTTTTTTTTGTAGGTTCTCCTAGACCTAGAGCTAGTGGAGGGTATAGATACTGAGGAATCTCCTAGGTTTCCTTACTCATACAGTTACAATGTGGCGGATCCAAAAACATTCAACAATTTCGAGGTTATAAACATATTTAATATAAGTTTGATAGCATACTAAAGGTTGGATTAATGAATGCAGAGTAATGAGAGAAGTAAAATATTTTGCGGAAACCTTGAAACAATCAATAAAATTGTGTTGAAGGTTGCAACATTAATAATAATTTTATAGGTGTTAACTACATGGATATACACTATAATAACCCGCTTTCTGTATATTTGTGACAAGAAGTGTACTGCTTTTTCTAAAATAATTCAAATAAACTCAGAGCTTCTAAATTTTGTTCATAGTGCTTCTAATAACTGCAATCATTTTTTTGTATCTTCCTTATATCAACTCTAGATATAACAATTTACTTCATATATGTACGCTATCATTGTAAAATGCGCTCTAAGATAATAGGCCAGCTTTAATATCCCCTCTGTATATGTACAGTAGTCAGGTTCAATATCTCCTGTATATGAACAGTAGGATGGATAATAGGTCAGGTTCAATATCTCCTCTGTATATGTATACTGTACAGTAGGATAGATAATAGGTCAGGTTTAATATCTCCTCTGTATATGTACAGTAGGATAGATAATAGGTCAGGTTCAATATGTCCTCTGTATATGTACAGTAGGATGGATAATAGGTCAGGTTCAATATCTCCTCTGTATATGTACAGTAGGATAGATAATAGGCAGAGAATAGGAATTAAGGGAAAGGAAATGGCGCTGGTCTGGCATGATGGATAATAGGTCAGGTTCAATATGTCCTCTGTATATGTACAGTAGGACGGATAATAGGTCAGGTTCAATATCTCCTCTGTATATGTACAGTAGGGTGGATAATAGGTCAGGTTCAATATCTCCTCTGTATATGTACAGTAGGATAGATAATAGGTCAGGTTTAATATCTCCTCTGTGTATGTACAGTAGGATAGATAATAGGTCAGGTTCAATATGTCCTCTGTATATGTACAGTAGGATGGATAATAGGTCAGGTTCATTATGTCCTCTGTATATGTACAGTAGGATGGATAATAGGTCAGGTTCAATTTGTCCTCTGTATATGCAAATTGTACATTGTACAGTAAAAGATAGATAACCAAGACCTTGAATATCTCCGAAAGAATTGTATTCGGGACAAAGCAAGAAATCTCGACTCAGTCCAACACCTAAAAAGCAATTTAGCTGAAATTAACTCCATGGTCAAGAACATTTTAGTTCTTGCTTGTAAAGTTTAATTATAATCAACACAAGAGGATTATATGCTCTGAACTTCTTATCTGCGACCTTTAGCTTTTCGCATACAAAACGTTCTAACATTTTTTTTATGAAAATTCTATCTAGCTATCTATGTATCCGCTATTTTCATGTTTGTTTATGTTTCCAATAATATAATAGCTTTTTCTACTCTAATATCCTTCCTGTACCCCAATATCCTCCCCTGTACTCCAATATCCTCCCCTGGACTCCAGTATTCTCCAAGCCGTGTGCTCCAATAACAATCCGGGTACTCCAATATCCTTCCCTTTACTTCAATATCCTACCATGTACTCCAATATGTTACACTATGCTCCAATATCCTGTCCTGGACTCCAGTGTCCTCCCGTGTGCTTCAATATTCTATCCGGGTACTCCAATATCCTCCCAGCTGTGCATCAATATCCTATCCGGGCACTCCAGTGTCCTCCCTTGTATTCCAATATCCTTCCCAGTGCTCCAATATTCTCCCCTGTACTCAAGTATTCTTTCCTGTACTCCTGTATCCTGTCATTTACTCCAGTATTCTCCCCTGTTTTTCAATATTCTTCCCTGTACTCCAGTATATTGTCCTGTACTCCAATTGTCTCCACTGTACTCCAATAATCTCCCCTGTACTCCAATATTCTCCCTTTTACTTTAATATCCTCCCCTGTGTCAGATATGTTACACTATGTTCCAATATTCTTCCCTTCCATTGTCCTCCGTTGTATTCCAATATCCTTCCTTGTGCTCCAATAACCGCCAATGTTCTCTAATATCCTATCCTGTTCCATCTTGGTACTCCAATATTATCCTATTTTTTCCTACAATATCCTCCCCTTTGCTCCTATATGTCATACTATGCTCCAATATTCTCCACTGTACACCAATATCTTACACATTTCTCTAATATCTTTCATTGCACTCCAGTATCTTGTCATGTGCCTCTTAGTATTCTTTTAGAGCCTTAAATTCTTTAAAATTTTTAAATTTTCATATCACCGTTCCTTAATACTGTATCTCCTAACCCACACTCTAGCTCCTCTAGGCAGCAGGAAATCTTAAACTTGGATGAAATGCAGGTTTAACAATGATGCATGAACTCCATGAAAACCATTAAAAAATGCGTGCACTTTATTTGCGTTACAAGACTACTTTAGGCAGGGACTTGGATAGGATCAAGGTTAGGAATAAGGAAAAATTAAATAGAATTGAATTTTAGATTTACTAATTTATCAGGATATGAATGGAATATATTATTTATAAAACTGCACTTCTTACTCTTAGTATCACATCTCAAATAGGTTGTCAACCTATTTGATCACATCTCAACAATTCACAGACTTGCGATGATTGAGAGATGTAATGGTTTTCTCTGAAAATTGATGAAAAATTCTCGCAGATTTTCTAGATAATGAGTATTACAGAAAAAAAGAATACCCAAATGAACCGGTCTGTTATAAATAGATAAACTATAAAAATATGGATTAATATTTGTTAACCTTATACTTATATAATTATATATATATATATATATGTATATATAGTATGGATTAAGGACCAAGGTTCCAGGTTACGGTTTAAGAATAAAATTGAAAAATATTTTAAAATCACGTTGTCAATATTTTTAATATAAAAATAATAATTGATTATTTTCAGGTTTCCGAGAAAGGTGATCCGGATGAGGTGACTGGAGGGTATAGAGTAGATCTACCCGATGGACGAACTCAGATCGTTACATACAGAGTAGACCCGGAGAATGGTTACCAGGCTGAGGTTAGATACGAGGGAGAGGCTCAATATCCAGACCAACCAGGATACAAAGCAAGTCCCTACGGACCCCCTGAACCATCTCGGGAAGTGGATGCTCTAAAAACAAAACGTCAGCTGTCAAAAAATAAATCGAACCGTTTTCCTAAACGACTAAATTTGGGGGAAGTTATTAGAGAAAGAGAGGATTTTCATGATCTATTTGCAGAACCTAGTACCATAGATGTAGATAGACCTGAGAGAACTATAACATTAAACGAAGAAAAGGAGCCAAGTCCTGAGCCGGAACCATCTTTTTCCAGTTCAGCAACAAACTTTGCTCATCAAGGTAGAACCAAACCTAATCAGGTACAAGAAGTGAGGTTGGGGCCCGGGCACAGTGCCGACTCTTCCATTCTTCCTTTAAATATTCCCAAACCGATTCTTCATCTATTTGAAGGTTCTGAACCAAACTCCAATAACAACAATCCCGGTCCTGAACCTTTTTTAATAGAGCCTAAACATGAGATAAGTGGGGTCGTTGATTGGAGGAACTGTAATAATCTTGACTCTTGTCTCGACTCTTTACAAATAATTACTGAGGATAGGCAGAGAACTGAAACTGCTGAACCAAATGTAAAGCAACTAAGCTCTTCTCAAATCGAAGACTTCTCAGACCTGGAGGAAACTATCTACAGCGAACCTTTACCCGAACCTGAACCAGAAGTAGAAAGTAAGTTGAAGAAACCTGATAGTTCATCCATTATCTCGGAGATTTATAATCTTCCGTCCCCCCTTGAAAATCATCTCACTCCTACGGAAGAAAAATCCAGTATCTATGAGAGACAAAGGAAAAGAAATATCGCAACCAACCAACACAAACCAGGTTCCAGTAGGTTCGCTTCTGATCTTCCCCCTGTAGCAGATGTTAACTTCAAGAATCAAGATCAGGAAAGTACAACAGCTCCAAGGTTTGTTGCTCATTTTGATAAAATTTTAAGCCTCGGTTCAGATAATCTGAAACCTGTACCGTTTCAAAATGACAATATTAACCCTTATGAATATCCGACAAATTTGGATCCAGACTTCTTAGTTCAAGATTTACCAGAACCTACCGAACACACGAATATACTTGAACCTCTCAAGCATATTAATCCTGAACTAAACCAAGATTATTCTCCGGATCCTGATCTTGGCAACTATGATTCAGATTCAACTGATATTGAATATTATGCAGACTACAACCTTTTCCCGTTCGGAGCTCGGCTAACTTCTATTATCAAACCAAACATTAACTTTATCCAGGAGACAAGAGAGAAGGCGGATATTCCTACTAGTAGGATACCAGGACTAGAGATTACTACTCCGTCATGGAGAGGATCACTTGAACCGACCATTACTCCGGTTCAAAGGAACTCCAGGGTTCGTCTTGTCTCAAATGGAAAAACTTTTATTCCTGAATATTCTCCGTCGTTCTAATTTTTTATCCAACTTAGTTCAATTCCAATAGTTTTATTTTTCAATGAAACTTGTTCGTCCAAAGTGACTTCTAGACATCAAAGAAACAGTTGCTGTTTAACATGTTTTCTTCTAATAAATGATTATTTGTTTTGTCAGTAGGCTTTTTTTCTGCAGAAGCTGGATATGAGGATTTTTTTGTAGTTCTTCGACCCAACTCTAAGGAACGGAGTTCTTGCCACCAATTCAAATTTTCTAATCTCTATATCTTTTGTACATGTTGATGTTAACCTTTGATATTGACAATCTGATTTAGTAAATTCATAGTTTGAAATATCAAAGGTCTACGACATCGGGTTGCAAAGATATAGGGATTAAAAAATCTAAGTTTGAGGCCAGAACTGAGTTCATTTTCAAATAAACGTGGGAAATCTGAGAAAACATATTTTGTGCACAGCCGTGAAAGTAGATTGAAATTAAATTACAATCGTAAAATGTACATAAACATAATATGAATAACTGCATAATATATTAATATCATATATTTGACCGGGGTGGAGGAAGGTGGGTAAAACACAACCTTGAGTAAACGTGTTACCCTGTCCACAGGCAAACCATTGTTTCTGGGCCTACAGAAGGTTAGGCAAGGAGTTATTTATGCTCACAACTTGAATCGTTCATCATAAATTCACACAGGGCATAGACACTAAACATTCTACGCTAAACAATAAATAATAAATGCATCAATAAATTCAGCAGTAGGATGGATAATAGGTCAGGTTCAATATGTCCTCTGTATATGTACAGTAGGATGGATAATAGGTCAGGTTCAATATGTCCTCTGTATATGTACAGTAGGATGGATAATAGGTCAGGTTCAATATCTCCTCTGTATATGTACAGTAGGATGGATAATAGGTCAGGTTCAATATTCCACGTGGTGTTAGATTAAGATTGGATTTACAAATTTCAATGTAAGCATTTTTCGAACCACACAGAAAATTTTGAAACAAAAACTGAGACCTATAATTGAATAAACTAGACTGGAAACCAAATACAAAATGCGGCGAAAACACAAGAGTACAGAAGTCAAGCAAGTTAAAAAGTTATAAGTCTTTCTATAGATTCTTCTTCTTTAATTTAACAATAACAATTACAAATCGATTAAGGATCGTTTCATTCAGGAATAGTTGATACTTTCTTTCAAGACAATTTTAATGTTTTTACTAAAACTTCCGTTTCTTGTCAAATTAGAGTATTTTAGAATATTTCCTGTTTATTTCGCATGAGGCAAGTTATTTGATTAGCTATTGGAAAATTTACAATTCAAGGTAGGCGTTTAAGTGTCCGGGCGTGAGATATTGCCCGGGTAGTGGGCCACTTCTTCCAAGATTTGGACACTTTCCCCACATAATATAAAATTATGGATGCATATATATAGTTAAATTAGTTTTTAAATGAAGCAAAAGTAGAAAATATGTAAAAGACAATATTTTGTCTCGAATGTCGTCCTTTTCTCAAAGAATAAAAACATGATATTAACTACTATCCATTGCACATTGAAAAATTGTGTGATGATTAATCGTTTAAAATGTAAACGAATCTATTTAATATATTTTAATATTAAAATATATTTAAATACAGTACCCGGACATTATCTCACGCCCGGACACTATAACTTGACCCCGCAAATATAAGAACTATAAAAGTCCCAATTCATCCAATTTGAAAAATCCACGAATTTTTTGCAAAAACCTTGTGGCCATTTTAAAGACTGTATGAATCACACAAACCCTTCCAGTGGCAGTATTGACTAACTTGTGTGAGTTAATTATGTGTATTTTTGTATGTTTCACATGATAATTCTTCTTAAAGGGACTGTGAGCGTAATTTCAAGTGACCCTCCATACAAAGATTGCAATACCCGATTTAAAACGGTATCTTGAAACCTTTAACTTATTAATATTGTAATATTCTTATTTTAAAAACGTTATTTTACTTCTGATAATTCCTATTATTTGTTTTCCTGCAGTGTAAATGCGCAACTCACTTTTGTAAAGAAACCACAACTAAAAATAATTAGTTATCAAAATTATAAACATTGATATCTAATTCATATTTGACCAATTACCATGGACAAAGCTTTTAAAGGTACCATTGAACATTAGGCATTTGCATGGAGGGTCACTTGAAATTATGCTTGCAGTCTCTTTAAGTTTAATTCCAATATTAATACAGTGAGCAGTTGATTTCTAAATAACTGTCAAAAACGCCAAAAAAGGCCGTTTTCAGCGTTCTTTGGGGAGGGTATAATCATGCTAATGTTGGGCATTATCTGCAGGTTTCCATCCACAGAATAGAAATTATAGAGCAAATGCTCGCTGATATGTTACAGCTTCCAATGACTACTAAAAGGATTCAAAATTTTCGGTTTAAAAAATTATGTTTTCACTGGAAAAATGGATATTAATAGAATCGTATTGAGAAGCTGAATAAAGATATATTGCTAAAACAAAATTTGTTGGATATTGACAAATTTTCCCTTTACTCTAAAACTGAAATATGGCTAAAATTGACAGTTTTTGTTCCTAGCGCCGTCAATTTATAACATACAGGGTGTCCCAATCAACATGGGAATTAAATGACGACTTCAGTAATTGTCTTTGTTCCATGCGGGATTATTTCGTTAACATAATTTTGCAGTATCACAATTAAAACATTTAACATAAAAAACTACTAGTCTCGGTTTGACGGAGATATTAGGAAATTTGTCCAGATTCCAGTTGTTTTAAAATCAACTGTTCAAATGATTAATATCTACGTCAATTTTTAAAGATACGAAGAAGGTAGACCACATTTTGGAAAGCCCATTAGACTTTCAATCTCTTTTTATAACATTTATCAATTATCTGAAATCAAAGACGATATTCAATTCGTCTGTCAATTCCTATACTTATTGGGCCACCCCGTATCTTAAATTTTCTAGTCTGAGTTTAATTCTTGTCATTTAGTATTTGTATTTACATAAAAAAATTGGTACCATAATTCCATTAGTGCCAATAGAGGTTCAAACAGAACCTTAATTAACACTGTTTGAAAAAGTGAATTATTGATATTTTTATTAGAAAATAAATCTAAGCAATTTTCGTGCTTGAAAAGTCTCGTATCTTCACAAATATTTCGATCCAGCAACACTTTGAAAATTACTCGCTCAAAAAATGTCAGCCCATTTGGTTGAGACGTTTGGCCAGCTATAACTTACAAATATGAGTAGCTTTAATATATAGAAGAAGATAATCAGACGTCATTCAAATTCGTCTGATGCATAAAGAGTTAATTTTTGACAAACAAAACTATCTTAATATATTTTTTGAGTCACCACTATACATACATACAGATTTCTAGTTTAGGATTCCAACAGCAGGACGGGAATTATATTTAACAGGAGAAGGAGAACATGCAGATCTCACGGAGAGTTCCCAGGCAGTTAGAACCTGGGATAGAGTATACTGTACAGGCATCTTATCTAACCTGGAGCTCAGGGCGCTAAACACCTCACGTAGGAAGGGAGTAGTAAGATAGTCTGGATCTCCTAGATTAGTCTCAGGTGGAGTATCAGGATAATTCTTGGGTATTCTCACGTATAGGTTTGGAAGTGCTGGTAGATCTCTGTCATCCAATTGACAAACAATTTCAACACTTGATGGGTTTCCGTAAGGTTGAGATTCATCCAGCCAGACTTTAAATCTAGGATCCAACCTGGCAATTTCTCCCTGCAGTATATCTGGTATTTGATCTTCGTTCTCCTCTCCAGGTGGGGTTCTAGGAAGAGGAGGTAGAGATATTCTTGGTCCCATCACAGCATGAATAGGTGGTAGGAATGCATTGGATAAACTGTTGTTTAAGTCCCAATCCTTCCCACTCTTTTTCATTTTTAAAATAGACTCAATAAGCGGATTCTTATCTGCTCCTGAACCTAGCCCTGAGTCCGCCTGATCTGATTCTGTCGTGTCCAGCTGCATTCTTTTCAATACCCCTTCACACTTCTGCAGGGTTTGAAGGGGCATTCGTTTATCAGGGTTCGACATAATATCCAGCAATTTCTTCATCTTTAACAACTTCTCATTATCCTCGTTTCCAATTCTTAGAATCATTTTCCTCAGTGGCTCTATATACTTCTCCAAGGACTTTACTTTCTCCAGATATTCTTTATCCTCCTGACTGGCGGGGTTTAGAGGTGTATTTACTTGACTACTAGGTGAGGGAGCTAGACTATTGGAACGGTTCTGTGAGCCTGCTCCTCCAGGAGATGGAACAGGTCCACCCGGAGACGGATTCCCAATCTAAAAAAGTAGAATTTTAATCTATGTAATATCAAACGGCTGGACCGATTGGGCTGAAATTTTTTTTCCACGGGCAAATTGTTTGTTTCAACATAAATCTAAATTGTGTTAAACGTACCTGACCCTGGGGAGATTGTGCGTATGGTATGGGAGAGGGACCCTGAGCACTACTAGTTACAGTTCCTTGCATTACAGAGCCTGGACGCATCGAGAAGCCAGACATACCCTGTAATATTATTTAATTTGTCTCCTAATTTAATTATTGACAAGGATGAACAAAAACCGTATAAATACAACTATTAATTAATTTCAAAGACGTTTTTGAAACAGAATTAGGTTGTAAACCGTTTCTTATCATGTCATATATATCTAATACACATACATCGTTGTCACAAACTTAAAATTTCTTATCGCTATATCTTTGCAATCTGATGGAGGAAACTTTAAATATTTCAAACTTAAGATTACTTTATCTAACAGAATTTTTAGTTTGAAATATCTAAGTCCAGGATATTGGGTTACAAAGAAATGGGGATTAGAAAATCTCAGTTTGTGGCAAGCATGAAAATAAAGAAACCCATTAAAATATGAAAAAGAGGTAAGAGTAGTTAGGAAAACTATACAAGGATTGATGAAATGTTTAGATAAATTATCTCACCAGGTTTGCCTGGGGTCTCTGCTGCAGCGCTTGCTGAAGCTGAGAAACACGTTGGCCACCGGTCTGCTGCTGCTGTTGTTGCTGTTGAAGTTGTTGCTGTTGAAGTTGTTGCTGTTGAAGTTGTTGTTGCTGTAACTGTTGTTGCTGCTGCTGTTGCTGCTGTAACTGCTGTTGTTGTAGTCGGGCTCTTATTTGCATCTGCATTTGCTGTTGCTGTTGTTGTTGTTGCTGCTGCTGTTGCTGCTGCTGCTGCTGTTGTTGCTGTTGCTGTTGTTGCTGCTGCATGATAAGCTGCTGCTGCTGCTGTGTAGGTTGCATACCCTGAATCTGTCCCCTGTTCTGCTGAATTTGCTGCTGCATGTTTGGGTTTATCATCCTGGTCTGATGAGACAATCCTCCAACCATTCCCATTCCCTGTAATCAAACCAATAATTACTTAACTCTGGAAATTTTTAAATATAGAAACTTATATAAAACATACATGTAAAGTGTACACTGTACGCCAGAAAAATAATTCACCTGAGATTTTTCAGCATTATTGCGCGCCTGCTGTTTAACATGCAGGATCAGTTTAGCAACAAAGCTTAAATAATCTTCCTTGTTCTTAGATCTCTGGAAAACCTGAAGTAAATATTTATTAATGCACGTCATCATCATCCACCAATTTTACAATTGTAGGTAAACATATCATCCGTTCAAATTATCTATTGATGTTAATTTCAAGGGCATTTCTTATCCTAAAAGANCCCCCCATTCTTTCAAACATAATTTCCGACTATCTAGAGAAGAGTGAAGGACAAAAACTATTATAAAGGAAAAAATGGTATGTCTTTCAGTTTTTTTTTATTAAGGAGCTGCGTATTTTGTTAATGAAAACGTAACTAAATTGAAGTGATAATCAGTGTTCATCATATATTTACTTCTATACTTAGTTCTTACTTGGCAACATTATATTCCATTAATACCTGGAATTCTGTCTTTCTTTAGTTAACTTGTTTTATTACACATTTAATACCATGCATGCTTTACCTTTCCATATTATTGTATTCTCTCTTTATACTTTACATACTTTTTTCTTTTTCCCTTTTATTATTTTACTTTTGCTTTTTAGACATTTTAATTCTTATTATATTTCCATCTGAACTTTGTTTTTTTTTCTCATCCTTTTTAGTCTAACAAATTCTGAGATCGGACCACTTACCGTCTGATTTACTTTTCAGAAATATGAACGTAGAGTCTACACAGCCAAATAAAATATTTCTTGAATTTATCATGTCATTTATAGTTTCAATAGCATAAATCCATTGATATTTTCGAAAAATTTCAAAAATTGGCTGAGTTAGGCCAAGAAAAAGCGTTAAAAATGCTCGTTTTTGGGAAAAGTACGTTTTTTCACATCAATCGGTCAATTTTTGATAAATTCAAGAATTTTTTTGTTTTGAGCTATGTAGACTCTACGTGCATATTTCTGAAAAGTATATCAAGACGGTGAAAGTGGTCCGATGCACCTTTTCTGTATTTTCTTTGCTTTACAACGTACATGTATCTTGCCCTTTCCTCCCCTATCTACCTGATTTTCCATTTCTACAGCACTTTTCTGATTTTGTAAACCAGATTCTCTTATAGCTTCCTCCAGCTTCCGAACCAAGCTGCTTCTGAACACGTCCGTCTGCCATTCTGTGCTCATTTTAATCTGGAAAAATAGAATCTTGTGAAATGCTGAAATATATCACTGGTATGGTTGAACAACAAACAGAGCACTTACCAATCATTAAAATAAAACCTGTCAGGCCTAACAGATAGTGTGGCACTAAAATATTCTTAAAAATTGATTTACGAACTAAACTGATAATTAGGAATTTTGCGACTTACATTATATAACATCTTTTTTTATTTTTATTTATATAAATAAATATTTTCAGTAAAAATATAAAATTTTCACAAACAAATACAAGATAGTTTAAAAAATCCAGAAGTAGAGAATTAGAACTAAAAGAGAGAACCCACCGCAGGCACCTGAAATATACACATTTAATGAAATTAGAGACTGAAAGTGAAAAATATGATTTTCTGTTTATTCTACTAAACCATAGTTTATTTTTAAGTTGCTAAAATATAACCGGTTCATTTTCAATCTATTTCTTAATGTTTTTACATTCGGAATAGATCTTCAACTCTTCTAGTAACTACTCGATGTATTAAATAGCGCTCTCGAATATGTTAAAAAAAGATTTTTGAAAGACAATTTTGATATTAGAGACCGAATTTAAAGAATTTGAACAGCGTCGCTGAACCGTCAATAACCGGTTCCAATTGAGCTCCGGCTCAAATATTGGAACACTGATTAAAATCTCAAGTTGAATAAAACTATTTTTGAACCGCGTCTCATGTTTGATCCAGACGCGGTTTCTATTCTTTAAATTATTAAACTGCTTATGTAATCAATACAATTTTTTGCCAGAGGTATATATTTTCTTTAAAAATCAATTCCCCCCCCCCCCCCGATATATGTTCGGGCAAAGCACCTTTTAGGTTTTAATCGCTGAAAAAGAGAAAAGTGATTTTAATAGAAAAAAAATAATCTTTTAAAATTTTAAAAAGGGAAAAAATAGTCTTTTGATGTCTAATTTTTTTATTCTTAAAAATATAAACCACTGAAACGTCAATTAACCGAAAAAAACATGCAAGAATTCGTAGTCAAGAACAATTTGCAAATATCAATAAAACACATTAAAAAATTCCACTACAAATGATCTACTTAATTAAAACCAAGACGAAGCACCGAACCCAAAAAATTCGTTTCACGGTGCATCTTTCCAGTCTTTAGAAATTTCGCATTCAGTATTTTCTTAATGATTTAATTTTAAAATTTGTATATAACCTAACCTGCAATCACAGCTAGAGAAGTTGCATTTAATGTTTCTGCATCCTTTTTATATTTTCTTGACATTTCTGTCAAGTTTGCAGATTTGTTCTCTAATTCAGATAGAATTGCTCCCCGTTGAAGAACATCGTCAATGTTCTGAACCATGATTCTCTGTACATCCTGGAGCTCGCTGTTCAAGTTCGATAAATGTCTCCGTCCTCTGGAATCCCCGTAGGTTTTCTTAGCTTTCTGTATATATGTATCGAACTCGATAAATGAGTAGGGTCGGGTTGCAGTGTTTATCTTGTGACCAAACTGGCTTTGGAATTCTCCGGCAAGGTCTTCAAGAAATGAAAACGCTGTTTTTTTACTGAAGGTTCGATCACACAGAGTTAAAAAGCAGGTTTGTTGCTCTATTAGGTAGCTGAAAACAATACAATTATTAGATTTTCGTAATTTTTTCAAAGGGACTGTTTGCGAAATCTGAAATGGGGTTTAGGCTGAATCAAAATCAAATTTGAATATCTTCGCTGCTAATTTTATTTTTATCTATAGCGTCTATAAGAAGGAAATGGTGGAAAACGCTAAATGTTAAGAGCGGAGATTCCATGTAGATTAACTAAGTTACACTTCAAATTTTATTCTAGTCATTAGAATGTAGTTAAAGGGAGTGACCGGCTATGTAAGTTAGTTAAACTTAGTATACAGTGTTGTTTCAGAATTAGTTTTTTTAAATTATTAAATAACGACGACATAAAATGTAAAAAAGTTCCACAATAAACTACAGACGTCATGTAGAGAAAATAAAAATTAATCTTATCATCGAAAATAAGTAATCTTGTTCAATTATTAGTTTCTATTTTCTCATTATTCTGGTTTCTCATTATTCACAAAGATTTTCTGCACGTTTTCTGCAGATTTTCTAGAATTATTATTGAAAAGACGACATTTGAAGAATTTGAAGAAATCTGGGAATAAATTCAATGAAAATAAGAGATTCAATATAATAATTAAAACGAAATAATCGATTTTTGCATTGATTTATTGACAAATTTCTTTTCGAGAAATATGTTACTAACCATTACTGTATAATTTTTACCTTATTTTTTATTGTCGTTAATTAATAATTAATAATAAAAAACTAGTTCTGAAAGCGTATCCACCCCTCAAGGAGGAGTTTTTAACGTCGAATTTGCGCTCAAACTAAGGATTTGCAGATCTTAAAAAGTTTATTATGTCTCAAATGAATCCGAATGAAGTTTTCCACAACACTGCATACTCAGTTCAACTACCTTACATAGCCGGTCACTATCTTAAACATATCATAATATTCTTTATCTCTTTAGGACGCTACGCTAGTGTAACTTTTGAAAATACTCATTCCAAATTAGAAGATTTTTAATAACGAAGAAGGCATTTTTAATAAATATATCATTATTAACTGAAAATCCGGCGCATAACCATATTTTTTGTGAACTACAAGAATTTACTGGATCCCTTCTCCACTTTTCACAATAAACGTTTAAACCAATCCCTCCTTTTTATCGCTTAAGATAGAAGTAAAACAAGCATGATAAAATCCAAATTTAATAAGGATTCAGCCTTGACAGTTTACACTCTTTCTTTTTTTGCGAACACTCCCTTTGTTAAACAACATTATTTTCTGTTTAATCAGTAGTTCAAAGCCCCAAATCTTTTCTTTAATTTTTTTCTCCAGGTTTATGGTAAATTTGTTAAGTGTTAAGTGAATTCAATCTCATATTACTCGGTACACTATATCGGATGAGCATAAATTACGCGATTATTTTCGGAGTTATGTTTACTCAAACAGTAAATAAAGAAAATTTTATCGAATGTGTTCTGATTTTTAGCCTATGGCTCGCGCTATAGCACGTTACAAGAACATGATAATAAATGTCTAAAGTTAGAGAGAAGCCTTAGAAGAGAAATGTAGTAGATATATTCTATATATGTATGTATATATTTATGTTAAAAGCTTAATATTAAAGAAACCACGATTAATTTCTCTTGAATTTTCAAATATCCATCACAAAGTTTAAGATCCAGATCCACAATATATCGGCTACTTTGATCCGGATCAAAGTGACAAAATATCATTAGAACTAAACTAAAACATCTAATTCCTCAACATAAGTCTCCCATATTTAGACCAATACGTGGTCGGTAAACTTTACTTATATTTCATTGGCTAAAAAAGGATAACACAATATTTTCCTTAGTAACAAGAAATTTTAAAACTAGAAATTAAAGATCCCGGCCAACCATTTTTCACAGGACACGGATCCGGATCCGCAAAGAATGAATTCCAATTCATAAATAAAATATGCTCTTTGAACCTTTTAGTTTATCATTAAATGTGAATGTTCAAATATACAATTAAATAAGAACCCGCTGAATTGTTACAATATTACTTATTTAGGACACAATTTAAAGTAGGATTTAATCCATTAAACTTTGATGCGGATTCGGAAAAAATGGATCCGGATCCAGGTCATGAACATTTCTATAAAGAACATAAAGAAATGGAATCTGAAAGAGACCCCAATGTGGGCCCCCCAGACCGCCACCAGATGTGGGAAGCACCATCCTCCACCCGTGCAAATTTTTCTAAGACAATTTTTGATAATCTCTCTTTTTTTCAACAGTCCAGACTTGGGGTTTGACAGCAAATAATTTTTGTTTACAATTTTTGGTTGATATTTTTCCCTTTGGATCCGGATCCAGGAAGCCAAAATGTTGCGGAACCAACGGATCCGGATCCTAAGCACTGCATTGCAATTTCTTATCGTAATTATTTAACAAAATTAAGGAAATTATACATTTAAAAGTAAGACTTACGATTTTCTGCCATTGAAAATTTTTATCCAGCATCATCATAACAGGATGGAGAATTATAATACCAAATCGCTAATGTACGATGGTAAAATTAATGAAAAATTTATTAGGAAAATTCAGTTTTAGACTAGGATAGGAATTAGAAAAAAAGCCTGCTTACTGGAAGATGTATGGTCCAGATTCTATGGAGCACCGACTAGGACTAACATCGTTCAAGGTTTTAAACAATCTCTTTGCTTGGTTTTGGTATTCCAAGATACTCCTGAATTAAGAAACATTAGAAATAAGATCCGAAAACCAAGATAGAGATAAAAACATTTTTAAGAATACGCATAAAGATTTAAATCCGGGAATATTTAAAATAAGCCAAATAAGTCTCAAGGAATTTAGATTCTGGAAGTCTTAGGAAACCCTAAAATATAGGATTTGACCTTTCGGTTCCTCTTTCGCCCCCCCCCCCCCC